GCCCGTACCCGCGGTGCAAGCGGGCGGAAGGAAAGGCGAAACGGTAGGTTCTGTCAGAGGTACCTTTGTTGCACCGCATGCATCCGGTGGACAGTACCCATAGTTGCACGCAAAGGCGCAGAGGCCGATGTAACTGGAACCTTCGCCGGCGATTGGATACCCTTCCACACCCGTAGGTTTGGGCTTCACTCTCGGGGCACCCATCTTGGTGCACTGACAGGCTCCGATGGGGCAGTATCCGTATTTGCAGGTGAATTCACAGAGGCCTTGGAAGTTACCCGGTGCTGTGCCCTGGATGCAGGCCTGTTTCTCGATAGGCAATTTGGGTGAGACGGCTGAGATACTGGGACCGGAGGCACTCCCCACCCACGCATTGAAATTGTTATAACCGTCCTTGCAGCTTGTCGTGATGGCCGGGCCACTGAACTCCGCAATCATAGCACCGGAACGAGAGATAGAAATCTTCACATCCCCCAGAAAGCTCCCATATCCTACGCTTCCATGGTACACGCCAACCCCGCCGTCCGGGATAAAATCCCATGTAGCGGGGATGGATGCGCCTCCAACAGTGACAGTGATGGTAGCCGAAGAAGTAAGTAGTGCAGAGAAGAAGATCTTGTCCTGCACCACTTGAGCAGGCTCAAATTCAAGCTGCAGCTGACTGGCCGTATTCCCAGTTGTACCACCATCGTTGCAGGCAGCGACAGGGTTCGGCCGATACCACCCAACCACGCCCTCCTTAGTGATTGTGCCTTTTCCCTTCTTGTACGTGTCTATCCAGTAGGGTAGGAAGAGACGCCAGCCATCATGAGGCATGCCATGGGCGTAGTTGAACGGTGCCTTGCCCACCTTGAAAGCTTCATAGTTGTCGATATCGCGAAGAGGGCCAATATAATGGGATTCACCGTAGTCGTTCCAGCTGATGATCTGCAACCACTTTGGTTGAACCACCATGACTTGTTCCCAACGGTCTGTCCAGAGAGTGTCACCTAAGAGGCGTCAGTATCGAAGTCCATCTGGTGAAGACACTTGCACAAATCCAAAATTGAACTCCAGTAAAGCTTACCTCGCCAAAGCCAATTTTTATCATATCCGGGGAGGTTGGTATAAAACCATGGTGAGACCGGCATCATATATGGTTTACCATCGGCTTGATCAAGATAATCCAAGTAGGATGCATCGACGTACGTATCCATGTCCTTGTTGCCCCACGGCCAGCCGGCCCAACTGAATAGTCCATTCGCGGTGCCCGGCTTCAGAGCATCCTTTGCGCCCAGGGAAGACCACGACGGCACAACGAAGCAATTTGTCTTTTCCTTGATCTCTTCCCAGTCTTTTGCATTTCCGGGCCCTTCGAAGGTAGACACAAAGGGCTTTCCTCTGAACTTATAATACGGCGAAAACCCGCTGTAGAGCTTTATCCAGCCTATCACGAGGGCTTTCTCGAATGGCCCAGCACCAGCATAATCAAAAGAAAAGAATAGTTTGAAGCCGGTATTCTCCGCGGCTTTAAAAGCCAACGACATGGAAGACAAGTCCGAGAACGAGGCGGCAAAATTGAGTGCGAATGCATCGATATGGGCTTCTTTTGCGAGCTTCATGTCATCCTCCCAGTTGGAAAGAGACCAGTCACGCGCATTTTCAACCTAAAAGGTTAGCCGAATGCCTTTACATTCAAATCGATAAGGTTGAGGTTGCGTTCCTTACCATGAAATGGGCAAAGGCTCCCTTATCATCCTCAATGGGGTGCAAGGGCGTTATGTTCAACAACATTTCTGCCGGAAATGGTGAGCTCTCCGTTTCATTCAGCGCTGTGCTAGTGTTTAGCCCATGGCGGCTAACATCTAGGTCTGTATATGCGCTATGCGTATGGGAGCTACCATGACGCCGATGAATGTGGCGATGGTGCGAGTGAGAAGCAAGAGTGAGCCCGACAAGCGCAGCTTTTACAAGAAGACCCAACATCCTTGCTCCGTAACAAGGGGTTCAATTCAAGATAAAAAAAGATTAGAGATATGAAAGGAAGGATAAGGAAGGATAAGGAAGGACAAGGAAGGACAAGAAAGGAGATGAGTAGCTCCCACGAGTGATGAGAAGATACGAATGAATGTATTGGTCATAGACATGAAGGAAAGAAAGAAAGAAAGACAGACACAGGACCTCCTCCTGCTGTTGCTGCTGCTACTGCTGCTGCATGATAGACCGTACAAAGGCCATGGCTGGCTGCTTATATATTGTGTGAGAGACCCCTATCATGTCCATTAGATGAAAAATTTTTCACACCAAGTGATAAACTCAATTTCGAGTTGTATAGCCATATCTGAGATATTGCCCTGTGCTCAGGCTTAGTATGTCTGACTAGGACTATTCAGGACGATGCGACTGTAAGTCATAGAGTCCATCAAAAAGAAAATTACCTATGCCACGACTCCACTCACGGCCACGAGCTGAGCAGGTAATGTACCATGTGCGGTATAGCCATAGGTGCTATTAGACCCCCTAGCACCATTATATACGCTATCCGTAGGTTTTACTCTCCGAGCAAATCACCGTAGAGTCCCATAGAATGGTTTACCAGACCAAAGAGAGTCTGGCAGTACTACCGGGTCTCCCTCCAGAATGCGGTGGTAGTATGCAAAGACAGCTTCTGGGAAATGGCTTAGAGGGATACCTGATGCTTGCCGCGAAGTCGCAAGAGGTCCATTTAGCAGCTAGTCTAGAACTGACTCATTCGCCATCCTGCAGGGTGGAGAAAGAAGAGAGTTGAAAATTGGGAAGTAGGTGCCAAGACTGTGACCCCTTTTATCTTTCCTTCGCTATAAATCAGGCGATGTTACATGGGTTGCTTAGTGCTGCGTAGTAGCTGACCCTATTTTGCCCTAACGTAGCCTACCAAACCAATTCGACTACGGAGTAATTTCCATTGCTCCACCTACTACTAGACGGTTCCTATGAACTAAAGAACTAAGAATACTAGAAGGATGGGGGTTTTACGATGATTGAGGACAAACAAAAATTCAAAGGACCGTGCTTATTGAACATTAGAAGCAAGTGTAACGTTTCTTCCTGACCGTGAGCTGTTGAGGCCTGCCGATCACGGTTCCTGCCGTTCAAGCTCGGATGAATCCGAGCACAAGCCTTAAGCCAAGGGTGATCAATTCTTCTCCACTATATGAAGGGGCGAAAGACCCCGGGGTCCGAAGTAGGAAATACTCCGTAGATGCGTGGAGCTAATCTCGTATTGTCCGTACTTTTCAATAGTATATACTATATACATGGGGCGTGTCTCACTTGATGCTTCTAGTTACGTAACTATAGTCGCCCTGGTACCTGGCATCATTTAGCATCCGAGGAATCCGACTCGATATTGGTGGTCTGATTGGACGGCTAAATGCAAGACAAGTGATGTCTAGACTCTTATTAAAATTAAATGAAGGACAGAGAGCGTGGTATGTATCGGTATTACTGATATCGCTACGGCCTCGCTACGACCTCCGTTCTCAAGTAGAGTCGCGTATAGGGTACAGGGTCACGATGCCTCTGGAGACCAAAAGGGATGCTGAGGTCGTAAATTAGATGAAAAACATTGGGTTGGTATTTGAATAACAATATTGGGTTAGCAAGGAGGTCATTTCCTCCTAGGGTTGTTACATCATGGTTCAGCTAGCAATTTTCTGATCAATTATTTGGAGGCCGAATATCTATACTAAAATTTACACATATAAACTCCTCATAGAACGAAAGGATTCTGCAATCAATTCCCATGTCCCCCCTTCTAGTCACAAAACGAACAGCCAAAGAAAAAGAGCACGCTTGACTATGAAGTATTTTCTTCTTCTCATTCTTTCCTGTCTCCTGCTTCTCACAGAGACAGCCCTAGCCTCAAACACGGCCGGCCCCGCAGAGACTTTATTCTTCTACAATGCATACCTGATCGAGTTCAAAACTGTGAGCAACCCGAAAAAGCGAAAGCTTGCAAAGGGGTGTCCAGCGGCACAAGTCGATGCTCCCTGCACCTACCCAGAATTCTTGGAACACATTCTGGATGTCAAACTGAAACCCCAAGTCCATAAACCAAAGTTTCAGAACATCATCAATAATGCTGGTACTGCTGGAATTACAGAGACTTCCAGAAAATTGAGGGAAAACGGTTTCAAATGCAAATATGATCTTGCTGCTCTTGTGGAGGGCATAGGGAAGGTGACCCCTTTTTCAAAAGTGCTTGAAGCCGTTGAAGAACAGATCAAAGAAAAAGTAGCCCTTTCCAGCGTTGAGAGTGAAAAGAACAACATAAAAACTGCGCTGAAGCTCGTCGAGCAAAACCGGGTTGCAGATAACATGAGGTGGTTCAATGAAGAGCTCGAAAAGAGGCTGGGCATCGAATTCGTCAAGAGCCCACGAACCACGGACGATGGGCGCGCATGGCAAGCCTACGACACTGAAGCGACAGGAAAAAAGTATCCGGATTACGACAAACTTTCAGAGAAGACAAAAGAGGCCGTGAAAGAAATGCGAGATGCAAAGTTTCAGGTCGAGGATAAGGGGTTCGCACCACATCAGGCTGTGGTTGTGCAAGTCAAAAATATCCTGAAGCGCGTCAATAAGTGCTGAAGCAAGACCTTGCTACAACCTACAACCTATGCTGTATAATAAATACATAGAGTCATTCACAAATATGTACTCCGAGTAATGTTTTATTAAAAATGCATCGTAAATTGGTTAAAAGAACATGGCCCATGATTAGGGCTAACAATTTGAGTTCGGTAATATTACCGCATAGAGCTGTATTGAATTACAATTACCCAATGTTATTTACATATATGAATTCATCAAAACCTACTATTCATGGACTATTGATTTTAACAACGGGGCGTTGTTCCTCCGTGTGTCTCCACCGCTGCCTCTTCACAAGGGCACACCTATATTAATCCAGCACTCCCCAGAGTGATATCAAATCTTTTAACCATTCTCCGTGTTCTTAGCCTCGACTCATCTCCACCATGGGCAACAATGGACTCGACAACTCCGGAACGGGCCCCTTGAAGGTTCCCGGATTTAACAATATTCCCCTTGAGCTGTCCCTGGACAGCGAAGACAGATTCTACGATGCGGTTCCGATGGACTGGTACAGCTCTCCTCTGACAGTCCGGGAGTTGACCATGTTGAATCTGATGGAAACGCTGACGGACCGACCTGGATGGTATAACCTTGTATTTGACAAGAGCACTGCCGCAAAGTGGAAAGAAGAGGCTATGGTACGCCCGATGATTAGCCGCAAGGCGTGGGACTGGTGCTTGGCTGAATTGCGCGATAAAGCCATACGATTTAAAGAAACAGGCCAGATTTTAGTTTTAAACTCTGGCAGTGCTGTCTGTAAATCCGACACTATTATTCCCTCGTCGGTTGGCTTGAAGATCCAACAGTTTGTCTCCGATCTGTCGGACGAGTACAGAGACCAGAAAGACTGGGAGCCCAGTTCCAATAAGCAGATTTGGAATATAATAGACCCATCTCTTTTCCCTCTTATTTACGGACAGACGCGTGTTCTGGTAAATGGCGGCTATGTTCCACTCGAACAAACATTGGAAACCTACGGGCAAGGCGAGGCTGCACCAAGGCATGATCAGGATCGTGAAAGATTGGAGGGGCTTCCTGGGAGTTATCGTACCGCGAGAACATTGCTGTTCTCTCACCGATTTCAGTGGCTTCCCTGCGAGGTGGAATTCTGTGGGCCAGTGGGATCGACAGACGTACGAATTACCTCTTACATCAACGACCTGCACCCGAGCAGACAACGCTCCTTCTATGAAACGCTTGAAAAGGTAATATCTCGAGTCATCGGACCATGGAATGAGACATTAATCAAAGGAGTACCTATGGATTTCGATTTGCCTTCCCCACGGGGCAGGGCGCCCCGGAGAATTCAAACATTTGGTGTTGAATGGCAAAATGAGTATCCAAAGTGGGCAGAAGACCTGCCAACGGAACTGAATGATAACCTCGAAGCATGCCACAACACACTGGCCCGTGTCAAGGACTATGTTGCTCTTCCAGAATACGGCGTTAAAGTCGAATGGCAAGGTCTTGAAACAAAGGATATCCCACAGGATTGGGAGAGCACGGTATCCTTGAAGGACGTGGTCGATGCAAAATACAGTCGCCTGTTTCGCTTCGAGCATTCCGATCCAGGTCTCTACTCATATGACGAATGGAAGGCAGGGAAAACTGCGAAATCTATTGTTGGCCCCACGGAGCATGACATCCAGTGGAACACAGACCCGAAGATCTGGCGTTCACAATTCAATATGAAAGACCCAATGGATCGTTACAAAATACAAGAGGCTCCTGGTATGCGTTGCACTGATCATGAGTATTATACAGTGAAGCTTCAGGAAACGTTTCGCGATAAAGGCCTACAAATCATTGTGAAGTTGGAAGGGATTGAACTAACGCCAGAGAGCCCATCGTATCCGGGCGAGGATTGGCATACAGATGGCCTTCGTAATGAGCACATCGTGGGAGTTGCAGTCTATTTTTTCGACATGGAAAACGTGACAGGTAGCAGGCTCTTATTCCGTCAAGAGATTGATATGGATTCAGATGTGTATCAGTTTGAGGGATGGGATGTACCGTACTTGGAAGAGTTATTCGGCGTCAAAGATGACAAACCTGCTCTGCAGGAGCTTGGGTCTGTGTCAATTGGCCAGGGACGCCTTATAGTCTTTCCAAACGCACTCCATCACCGCATGGAGCCATTTGAGCTGATTTCCAAATCTCGGGCCGGACACCTTCGATTTCTGACACTGTGGCTCGTCGATCCATACTACCGCATTTGCTCCACGCGGAATGTACCACCGCAGCGGCATGACTGGTGGGCACAAGAAGCAGAGTCACTGGTAACGTCGGCACATTCGCTTCCTCAAGAGTTGGCCACCATGGTCATAAACGAAACACATCAATGGCCCATAGATCTCGCGGAGGCTCAACACAATCGACTTGAAAGAAGCAAGGATAGCTCTATCGCTCATGACGCGATGGAATATCTGATCCAGAATCATACAATAAATCTTTGGAAGCGAACCTAGTGATATTTGCATCTGTACCAATTGAATGAGATAGTACATATCAATTCACAGTCTTCGATCATAGTTAGGTTTGAAAGCAGTACTTTTCCCCATGGAAATGAAACAGTGGCAGGCTGTGGCAGTGTCTTTTCGCCCTGACGGCATGTTACACCTTGTATACTATTCAGCACTCCAATATCACCTGGACTGCTTATTTAACTTTTAGAGATATCCCATTCAGACGTGTTCGATAGGATTAAGTAGTTTCTTTGTCTTTTTGGCAGGCATATTCTCGACAAAGAGTAATTTTCGCAGAACGTAATGTGGACGGTATATCCTCTGTACCTGATAGCTTCTGAGATGGAATATAAAGCAGAATAAGGAAAAAGCGTTCATCAAGAGCCAATAGCTCAGCAGCATCATTGGTCTAGTGGTAGAATTCATCGTTGCCATCGATGAGGCCCGTGTTCGATTCACGGATGATGCACTCATTTTTTGCCCTTTTTGATTTCCTCCAACCAAGTACATCATAACCTTCTATTCTATACCCAGTATCACCTATACATATACACATCCCAGGTCTACAAATAGGTATCATATCTCTAACTCTTAGACTTAACACAAATAGCAATCCCACCCAACACAAGCACCATCCCTAACCAAGTTTCCTTCTCAATCACTTTCCGCTCCACGTACCACTCGCCCAGAACGGTGAAGAGAAACGCACTCGAATTAGCCAGCGGAACCGTCAGGGAGAGTTCTATGCTCATCAGCAAACGGACATATTCCACAGGGCAGACACCGATCTCCATTGCGAAAGAGAGAGAGGGAAAACCACCGGTACGTACCATGTTTCCCAACAAGGAGGAAGAACCAAATACTGCCCGTCAAGTTGATAATCAAGGGTACCGAGTACGCGGGCGTGCGGAGGAGATTGACGACCGTCCAGAACAGAGATGTGATTTTTGTCTTCAGCCAGCCCGAGGTTGAAGGCGATGAGCGCATCCAGGCGGGCTGTTGTTGTTGTTGCTGTGTTGTGCCTGTGGCAGAAGAAGCTGCTGCTGCTGCTGCTGCTGCTGGTAAGGGGTGGTCTTCATCGTCGTCTGAGGTTTCAGGTTTCGGGTCCGTGGGGTCTTCGGTTGTTTGCTGCAGTTCTTGTGCGTCGGGTTCGGGGTGGGGTGCTTGGGGCTGCGAGTGTTGCTCCTGGCGCGCGTTGAAGTCGGCGGCGGCGCGGCGGATGAAGGGGGTTGTGAAGCCCCATGCTACGCCGACTAGGAGGAAGGAGAGGATGTAGTTGAATACCGGGGGTTGGTCCGGGGTGATGCTGGCGTCGGGGTCCATCCTTGTGTGTTTTTTGGTATGTGTTGGTGTTCGATTGCCAGGTTTGGCTCGTTGGAATTGAGTTGTGGAGTGCGGAAAAGGGAGATTAATTAAATTGGGTCCTGATAAGATAGACTTTGTGGATATGTTTTAGCTGCATATGGTAAGGCACTAGTATATGTACTGTATTGCGGGTCTTGTGTTTGTAGTGAAACACCTAGTCTGTATTTTACTCTGTCGTATATTTTGCTAAGTATTTGGTGTGTACTCTGCTCAATTATTCTGGATATGTATATCGTGTGTAAGAATGATTTAGCTAACAAATTCACCAAACTGGCACTTCCTTGTATATACTAGGATATATAATTTGACTTATTCGGCTATGAAAATACACTCGATGCCGTCATATGAATATTACATTCATACAACAACGGAGGCTGCTTACTTGGAGGGACGGGATGAGGATAATTATGATAACAGTCCCACACTATCCACGGCTGGAGCATACTCAGAACTATCCTATAGTTAAAGCACCGAAATTAAAAAGGCATGAGAATACGCAGCAAAAAGTTTACGTCGATACTGAAACGCAACCTCTAATGTAGAGTCCATCGTCATGCCATCTCCCCGGGGACCCATTCCGAGATATTCCTAACGGAGAGACACCCCGACAGTTAGACGAAAGGGCTCCGTAGGTGTTGTTGGTGTACATGTTGAAGATTATGAGAACAGAGCTTAGGGAGGCAGACCCATCATTGTCCGATGCCACCACTAAAGCTATCGTCGACTCGGTCTGCATCGTTTGGTCATTTTTGGTTTTTAACGGATTCTCAACAGGTTGCATGCTTATTTTGCACACGAGGCTTGGTATGTCAAGTCAGACGTGTTTAGCAGATTCTTATTCGTTGCAGCAGCAACCCACCGAAGGAGGTAGAGCCAAATTCATAGAAACAAACGATAGAGATCATCACATCCGTAGGGATCTTTCGCACCCTGCCACATTAGGTAGTAATCTTATTGGCGCAGGCGACGTAGTGCTACTCAGTTCCCCCTACGGAGTGCTAGTGATGCGGACCGTCGCCCATTATGATCCCAGGCAGTCTGTCATGCTTACATGATATAAGTGGCCAGTTCTGAATTGCATAAGTAAATAAGCTCAATTCTATAAAAACGAACCGTGGTGGGTTAATCATGAATGATCTTTCTCTCCATTCTCCATGAACCAACGCACACTCCGCTCAAGGCCTTCCTGCATTCCCACTTTAGGTCGATACCCAAGCACTCGTTTGGCTTTGTTTCCATTCAGCGTGCGGATAAGGGTACTAAAGCGTATACCCTCACGGGTCATATTGGCAGGTTTAGTGCCGCCGGAAACTATCCACGCAACCCACTCATTGATGAATCCGAGCGTCAATCCAACCCATTTCGGGATAACCACAATATCCTCCGGCCGGATTGGGTTGCCCGTGAGGGCGGAAACTGCTCGCTGGAAGTCCCAAAAGAGCCAGGGGTCTTCATTTGTGAGATGGAAGCACTCGCCATCGACACGGGTAGATGCGTCTGTCGGGGGAGGCTTGCCCCAGGCACTGAGAAGGGCACGAGCGGCTAGGAGGTGTGCATCTGCCAGGTTTCCCACGTAGATGCAGTCGTAAGGGTTCTGACCATTGCCCATCTGGAACCGGGACTTGCCTTGGCGTGCGACGGCAAACATCTTGCCCAAGGTGCCGACGTCGCGTTCGCCGAATACCAGACAAGGTCGGATGGCGCAGGTCAGGATGCCCCGATCATCCCGGCCGCCATTGCGATTGGCAGCTTTGATGGCGTCTTCTGCATCTGCTTTCGCGATGCAGTAGAGTCGCTTCTGGCGCGGGGGGCGCAATATTGGCATTTCCTCTGTGGCATCAATGAGATCAGTGTGGTTATCGTTAATAACGCCCGGGGTTGAAGTGTTGATTAGGGCTCGCACGGTGTTCGCCTCCACAGCCGCACCTAGGAGGTGATGTGCGCCCTCGACGATGATGCGGTGGTAGGCTGACTCCGGGGCGTCGGAAAACTCGGGAGATGCAGTGTGGAAGATGGTCACAGGGCGCGCGATCTGCATGATGCGCTGCACATCCTCGACACAGGCCAAATCGCCATGGTGGTAGTGCACATTCGGATTGGGATGGCGGTTGCGGTCGATGTTCACGTCGATTGAGTGGATATTGCAGTCAGGCTCCTCCTCGAGGATTTTGGCGATGATATGGTAGGCTATGAAGCCATTGCCGCCGGTAACAAGGACAGGGCCAATGCTAGACATACTCAGGATTAACAAATCGATGGGGGAAATTGGAGGAGAGGAGAAGGAAGGGAAGTTGAGAGCAGAGAAAGTCAGGGGGGCGGAATTGTTGGTGCTTACGGGCTACAGGGATTTAAATTCCTACCAGTTGCTTGAGCTTCCCGTTTAGATGGAACAAAGTCCGCATATTTGTCTGAATCTCTTGAAATACTTGAAATGCTTGAATTGATCTAGAATTATATTTTGGGTCGCAATCGTGTGGTACGCGAAAAAGAAAAAATATACAAATGCGCTTTTCCACGCCCATCCCAGTCTTAACGCCGTTTCTTCTACTAAAAACATACAGTCTAACACGAGCACAGGGTATATCCACTGGACAAAAACCAGATGGAATTCCGGATTCTATCACGTATATAGAACGGAGCTAAAGCCGACTGGTGTGCAATTTACTTCTCTAACCTTGATAGTTTTGACTGACTAGCCACTCGGAATCTGTCCCCAGCATTCAAACATCAGAAGTTGTGTATATCGGAGTTAGATAGACAGTCAAGGCTTCTATTGAGACTGACCGTGAAGTTTTCGGCCAATCTGGGGACTGCTTCGTCGTTGTCATCCAAAATGACAGCCTCAGCTGTTGCTTTGGCTTCCCTGAACAGTCATGGGCTCCGCCGGTGGTCTTGATCCATCCGCCACAAGCAGAGCAACGAACAGCCATGGTTACTCAGTTATGGCCAAAAGAGCTAAATCAGGGGCTTTGAAAGAACAGAAGAAGTGATCAACCTAGTGGGAAATATTAGGTCTTCGATTCGAAAATAAGAGTCTGAGAGAGTCAGTGGAGAGCACGTCGTATTTGTATATGAACCAGAGCATTTGGATTCTAATAGCAAGAGCTAGCTTTGCTCTTTAGTAATACCTTTAGGCAATCCATCAACTCCTGCTTGCCTCGACCAAATGGCGACGACGGAGAGAGGATGATTCATTTACTCCAAAAACTGTGCCTATGGAAATCACGGCCTCAGTGCGCATGACGTAGCAAATATCGTCTACAACCATGGGACTGGAGAAACGGGCATGTCCCAGTCGGCATTATGCCTCGCTTCTCCTAAAGTTGGTCCTGGTGCAGGTCCTACTCTGCTATAATCTGAACATGTTGGGCCATAGACTATAGACCATAGTACACAGGAAACAAGGTATCTATCTCTATTGGTGTTCTGCAATTGCTCCGAAGGCCAGGGCGATGTTGTATTTTCGAAAACAGACTGAATACTGGCAAACGAGTATTTGATAAGTTCTATACCCTGTACATCTAGAAACATGAACATAAGGAAGCCAACTATCTCACTCTATCAATCTACCAGAAGAATCCTACCTACTCCGTAGTAGTAGAAAAGATACTCCACAAGAACACCATACCCAATCAAGCCCCCGACCAGAAACCAACCAAGCTAAACCCGAACCAGCGCCGCATTCAAAAAAAAAAAAAAACAGGCATGACGTAATCAAACCCAACCACCTCCGACTGATTAAACAAACCCAAGTAACTACAACAATCACATCACACGCCCTAACTAAACCCAACCAAAAACCCTCAAAAAGAAAAAAACGAGAAAAAGAGCAGCCAAAATGGTCTTCCGATTTGTATGTCCCCATCCCAGCCCCAATTTCTATCCGATTGAATCCTGCCCAATTCAAATTCAACCAATCCAAATACCTTTCTTCTACCCCCCAAAGAATAAATAATCACCAACCGATTCATTGATTGAACTAATTAATATAAATAACCAGCCCAAAACCCTCGACCCCATAACCCTCTTCCACAGTCCCAGCGCGCCGGCGTCGCAAAACGCCCTCAAAACGCTGCAACGGGCGCTCGCGGCCGCCGAAGCGGGCGAGCCGCAGACGACCAAACGGGGCGAGTTCCAGCTGGAGGTGACGACCGAGGCGCCGACGACGGACCAGCTGCGCAATATCCTGGACTATGTGACGGCGGATCCGGCGGGGGCGGGGAGTAATCGGATTGTGTATGGGGTTGAGCAGGTTGTGAAGGGGGCGAGGAATGCGGAGGATGCGGTCAAGAGGTTCAAGGAGGATGGGGGACAGGGGTTTGTTAGGCCTATTGTGAGTCTTTTTTTCTTTCTTTCTTTCTTTCTGCTTCGCTTTGCTTTGGGATTGGGGTTTGATTGAGGGTTTGCTAATGGGTCTTTTTAGACGGTGGATTGGACGAATGGTCGGGCTGTGCTTGGGGATAATGAATCGGAGATTCTGAAGATGGTGCATCAGTTGGATGTCGACTAAATTCTTTCCTTCCATGTGGAGTATTTGGCTACAATTTCCTGGTATGACTTGGTTTGAAAATTTGGATTTCGTTTATCAGTCTACGATACCTCTATGTATCATACAAGCAATTACACTCAACTCCAGACCATGACCCTTGACCCGGTAATGCATACAGTCAGACATGAACATTAAACATATACTCGCTCATCAAATCCAGTCATGGTCAATTCGAGATCCAGCTCGTACCGTGCTAGTAAGGAGGGAAGAAAAAGATGAAGAAGGGAAAAAGATACGCGTTAAAACATCGTCCCGAACGACCCATCCGTCGCAATCGGTTTGCGCGGTGAGCTGCGTCCTCCGTCCATGGCCGGTTTTCGATGCCTACATCCGTTCATTAGAAACCATGTGGTGTGGCCCATTTCGGGGCGAACGTACCTGAATGTGAACCCGACGAAGAGACCCTTGCTCATCTTCTCGTCTCGCTCTGCCATTTCCTCCAATGCGCGTTGCTTGTCATGGACCTCCTTGTACTTGGCCATGTCCGCTTCGCTGGTAAAGTCGTCGAAGTAGCCTGCGTCCGTCTCCGAATCCAGTTCGGGTACAAACGGCGCACGCTGCTCGCGCAGCCGGTTGAAGTCAACCTCTGCAAAATAGTCATGGGCGTGAATCTCCTGGATGTTCTTGAACCGTCTCTCCTTCGAAGCGACCAACTTCGTGATCAGATCCCATGTCCGTCGCGACAGGAAGTAGTTCGGGTCTTCATATACTGGTTTGCGCAGCACCTTTTGCCAGTTCTTCAGATTCTGCCATGTCTCATCGACCGTGGCACCGGCAAAAGGTGGGTATCCCGCCAGGGCCTCAAATAGCATGCACCCCAAGCTCCAGTAGTCGACTGTGAAATCATACTGCTCGCCCTTCAACACCTCCGGCGCCATGTAATCTGGCGATCCAACGATAGACTTGGCGTAGTTGACTTGACGCTCCCGGAGCGTGCGATATCCCTGGCGTCGCTCGGCCATCGTACGCTGCTCCATCGGACGACCGAACGGCACTGGCGTGTTGCCCACCTCCTCCAGCTTCACGCGCATGGATTCGATCTTGCCGGGGTTCAGCATGCCTGCCGCCAGGCCAAAGTCAGTCAGCTTCACGTGGCCCGTGGAATCGATCAGGAAGTTCTCTGGCTTCAAATCGCGATGGATATACCCCAGCGCATGCAGGGCGTCGATGCAGCTGAACATCTCACTAATATAGAATCGCGCGTGGCGGTTGTGCAGGACTCCCGTATTGTTGAGCAGTGTGCGGAAATCTCCACCGGGCACATACTCCATCGCAAGGTAAATTTGGTCCTCGTCCTGGAAAGCGTAGAGGAGCTTGACTAGCCAGTCACTCTTGGCGGCTGTCAGGATGTCGCGCTCGGTCAGAATATGCCGAATCTCGTCCAGTTTAAACAGTAGCTTCTTGCTCATAACCTTCAATGCGCACACCTCCCGGGTATCCTTCTTCTGCGCCAAATACACCTGTCCATAGCCCCCCTGGCCGACCTGCGTCAGGATCTGGAAATCGTGTTGGCGGAGACGGGTGCGGCGCTTGCGGAGGTGGGCCCGTTCCCGACCCAAATATTTGAGGAGGGCCGGCTCGTAGTCATCCATGGGAGTTGCGGGCGGCTCCGGGTAGGCCGTTCGGAATTGAGAGTAGCGAGTTTGGCGATTGTGCACATAGCTGAGTAGGTCAAAATAGTGGTCGAGGAAATCTAGAAACGGTTAGCAGGCCCGATCCCATCGGTTCACAATGCGCGCGGGACAACCTACAGAGCTGTGTCACGTTTACCAATCGTTTTACCCGAGGGTTCTGCAGTTTCTCCATCTCCTCCGGCGTCAACCCCCGCATCTGCACCTGACGTCTCTGGATGCTCTCGACATCGCGTGGCTGATACGGCTGGTGACGAGAGATGGCGGCCGCAGCGGGATTTGGGCCCAAGTCTTTGCCCACCCGCGTCGGACTCGGTGGTGTATTCTCCTTATTTGCTTTGCGCGTCGGACTCCCTGGGGGCTGTCGAATGACGCTCTCACTGAAGTCTTCCACCGATTTTTTCGGAGAAAACATGGGGTGGCTGTAATGGTCGTAGGTGCCCTTGTTGGGCGAGGTGGGGTTGAGCTTCATCGCTTTATCGAAGACATTTGGTAGATCTAGGGCGCCCGGGGGAAATCTGTTTTTGCTGGGACTGCCCTGCGGCGTCTGAACCGGACTGGTAAACCCATTCTGCGAAGGTGTGGAGGGGCGATCCAAGGACTCGTTGCCCGAACGGGTATGTAGTAGGGGAGGGGGGTTGGGCAGCCGGAGCGCTGGTCGATCGCTCGACTCGCGGGCGAAGTTGAGGGTCATGACCACGAGAGGATAATTCTTCGAACACGTTGGATCTGATCAAGCAAGTAAATATGGCCGACGACCCCTTTGATAAGGGCGAGCCGAGGGGTTGCTGCTGTGTTTTTCCGCTGGTCGCGAGAGGGGGACCCAAAAATGGCAGAAAAAAAAGAAAAGAAAAGCAATAAATAAGAAAAAGCAAACAAGTTGCACGAGCCGTGGAAATATCGGTGAGAGAGGTTCACCAAAAAATAAAGTGAAACCCACTCAGAACCAGGAAAAAGCAACGAGCGGTACAAAGAACGCGGGAGCCGTCCAGAGCCACTGCCGTTGAAAGTCGGGTACCGATGTGAAGAATGGCTTTGTTTGACAGGGGGTTTTGAGAGAGAGGAAAAGACGAGGGACAAAGACCAGAAAGGAGTCACACTCGCTAATGGATCTCTCGTCCTGGGATGAATAGAATAATTTTGAGATTGTGGAGGAGATCAAAAAAAAGACAGGGAGGGGAAGGGAAGAGAGAGAGAGACAGGGATATGGAGATTGAAGCTGAGAGCTGAACAACTACTAGACCCCAGTGGAATACCTGAGAGCCTGAGGCCGGAAGCGCCTGCAGCCAGCCACCCAATGGCTTCAACTTCTCCCCACAGTCTCTGGACCAACCGGAATGGCTGGTGGATGCTTTAATTTCTCCTGCGCTTGCCCTACTCGCCCGTTGCTCCGGTAACTCCCTTCCTTCGATCCCTCTAGACACGGTCGATCCAGATGCACCTGTCGGATTTCCCAGGGGACAATTCGAGTTTATCGGCTCGGCTGTCAAGGCACGGCCTGCTGATTGGACTATCCCGTCTCTTGGGAGTGATCGATGGATCAGCTTAGGAGATTTTGTGATGGTGTGGGTTTCTCATCCTGCAAGTCATCGACCTAGGATCCGCCTGAGAAATCCTTCCACTCTTCCCTGGCCAAAGAAAGAAAAGAAAGGAAAGAAAAAAAAATATAAAACAAAATAAAATAAAAAAAAACCAGATCGTGAGTGGATGCTGACGATCGATGCGGCTGAAGTCTCCGTGGCAAGTCTAGTCCGAGTCCTCCCTCTTAGCGAGGGGTTTGGATGAATTACCGATGGTCATTCAATCACAACACGACCGCATCCAGAACCGAACCCTTACCTATCTACACAGATACAATTTCCACCGTGTTTAATGATGGTGTGGGAGAAACAGCTATGTAGCTTGTACCCTTGCCTCGGCCGTTTACGGAGGTCTATGCATCGAGCCGTTGTAAACAAACGGACGTCATTTCACAAGGAGAAAAGTGGGGACACCAGACTAGTTAAAAGTGATTCCATGGAATTGAAATTAAAAAAAAAAGGAAAAGAAAAATGCAACCCTCGTTCTCGATCTAAAAAAACCCAAGCAGTCGTCATCGACCCAGTAGATCCATGAAACCCATCCCTCGTGAATATGCATGTCAGCTTCAACAGTTACATCTTGGCCCGTTGTCCAGTCTACCAAGCACCGATTAGCCATATTCACCACTCATACAGTCGCACACTCAACACGCTAGCTTCCAACCAACTTTAAAAGAAAAAGGGAGAGTTGAACTCACGAAAAACGCCAAGCCGTACGACGGCGTCGTGAAGGTGATCTTCGATCCCTTCGGAAAATAAAAGACATCCCCCGGACCCGCCGTAACCTTCTGTCCGGTCTCGTCCGAGATCTCAAATTCACCCTCGAGGATGATTTTCGTCTCATCGAAATGGTACTCGTAGACTAGCGGCGTGCCTTTCTCCAGGCGGTAGAAACCGCCCGAGATGGGCTTTTCGGGATCATTGTGTTCACTAAAACGTGGTACAGATTCCGGGTTAGTCTCCAATGGTTGGGTTGGAATGGCGGGAATGGCGGCTTACCTCGAGACTATGTCCCCCAGGTAGGCATTTTCGTTTGCGATAAGGGGTGGCTTGAAGGTGGACTGGGCGTTGGCGAAGTAGGTGAAAGCGCCAGGCATTTTGCTTGAATTTGCAGTTATCCAAGATAACAGTTGTTATTGTTATTGTTGTCGTTCGTAGAGATCGAGAATTGATCAGTGGACAGTGTGGTTCATATTTCGATCGGATCTGAAGCACCAGATCTATGGCTTTATAACCTCAAACATAATACTCCTCAATTCGGATCTTTCATCGCACGCCATCACATAGGCAAGTATACCATCGGATCCAGCTGCTGGAGTCGGATACAGGAAGCGCCCCGGAAAGATATACTCGAACACATAGGATGCTGTTTATTCGACATTGAGGGGTCGTGAGGGGAACCCGTCGGATCAATATACTATGATCGACCTGGGACTCTCCGTGATCGTACCTCGATAGCGAGTGATAGATTGCTTACTGGCAGCCACTGAGGGATTGATAGCAATTGGTTGGTGAGTATGAATGAAGATTAGTCAGGTTAGGGAAGTTCGCCAGTGCTGGATTGTTTTGCCCAGATGGGTTAGTGTTTCCCTGTCTTTCATTTCTTACCGTATCCTATCGCATAAAGCCAATTAGTAGATTGGTTGAAATAAATAACTAGTCGGTATTGCCAATGAGACCAGTCCATAACACTACTAGTATAAAAGGGTAGTTTACCACGCGGACCCATTGAAGCACGAACAAGACTCAAGCAATGTAAGGTTAAATAACCATCATTATCTACCGCGTCGATCATCATAATGTCATAATCCATGCACAATACAATGCAACACCATTGACCCCAGATATCAGAAAAACCCCCAAATACAAAAGAAATCAGATCGCCCGAAAAGACTGCAATTTGTGCTCATTGGCTCCGCAAATCCGAAACTCCTTCCTGGGACCGCAAATCAGAGACTCCTTCCTGAGGCCGCAAATCAGAGACTCCTTCCTCAGGCCGCAAATCAGAGGCTGCTTCCTGAGACGGAGCCGACTTCTTCCTGCAATCCCAGCGAAAAAAAGAAAGTAAATCGTTAGTTCATCTCACCCAGACAAAGAGCGACAAAAAAAAGGACCAATAAGAATCGGAAACAAGCCTCTCACTTACTTGTTGCGTCTCCATTCATCTATATCCCTTGCCATGTTCCCCGCACCACTCGATCTCCTATCCGGATGATCATTGTGAGAGCGACCGAAGTTCCCCAACAGGAAGTTAAACGCTAAACGAAGAGCACATTAGTAAAGTCCCCCCCCTTTACAACCAATCCCATGGCATTCTAGGAGAGGAAGAGACGTCACTTACCCCGTTGCGGTGTATGGTCCTCGTCATCCTTAGATTCTTCGTTGGAGGACGTGGATTTTCTCCGCTTCTGTTCCTTACTAAGGTGGCCGAATTTCGAGAGAAGATCCATGATGTATTATACAGTACGGAAGAGAGAGAGAGGAGAACAAACGGTTATACTTTGAGGTCTGATGTATCACGACGAAAATCACGCTCTGGATAGTAATAATATGCAGAAGCAAAGGTTTCCCAAGCACAGTGGCGGTCGAGGATTCGCATATAAATACGACACTCCGTCACAGCGGCCTGCATGACATCATAAAGTCATGCGCCGAGCTAGCCCTCACCCAATAAGACTCCCAACAGGACCCCCCAATTCCCATCTGCACAAAAGGATTAAAAATCATCCTCGTCCCGACAATGGAAGAAAGAGAAATCATTCTGGCCCTGACAGAGTTCCACGAGCGACTGGCTTGGCAGACGGTTCAACAAATGGGGATCCCGCGACGGTCGATATGACGCATGCCATGAATCATGACCCAACTCTCCAGTGATGGGACTTGAGATTTCCGCACTCAACCTCGGCTTATGTCACGGTCAATCAAGAGAAAGGAAGCTTTATGCGGGCAAAGCGCACGAGACGGGATCGGCAGAAATGTACCTCGATCAGTCATGGTGGCAGCGCACGGGACTTTCAGGGTACGACGTCCTCATGATGGTATTGGACGGCATGGATCAATCGCGTGTGCTCCGAGTATGGATGTATTACTAGTATGTAGTATCAAAGACAAAGTCAGCACGTCAGCACTGGGATGGATCAAGTAATCTCCCTCGATCACCAGCCCCCGGGGGGGGGGGGGGATCGAAGAGAATAACCAATCTACATTTTGAGATATTCGCCAGAATTATACTCTATTACACCGGTCATGGGTATCAGTTTACGGAACCCCAATCACACTAGACGATCTGTCGAAAGAGGAACCCGAAATAAAGTGGACTAATTAATGGACGTGAACCGTCCAATTTCCGGCCTAATTATGGGCGCCGTCCAATGCCCCGCCCGGGGTAAGATCACCCTTTCCAGTATGCCGACAATACCTCCCAAGGCTCCTCAAATACTACTCAATACTGCAATCCTCTCCTGTTCCGGATCAGATCATCCGCGGTCCTAGTTAATTGGATGTGTGATTACGAATACGTGCCCTCAGTGTGTGATTCCAACATTTGCACTCCCCCTTTAAATCCCACACCGCCCCATCTCTCTGTCTCTCGTTTCTTTTTCCTCTTCTTCTTCTTCTTCCTCTATTAGTTCCTTCCCAACCATCATTACGAACGCTCCCCCCCGTTCGGTCCAACTTCCACTCAGCCCAAGCAACAAGACGAGGCCAACACTGTTCATGACGGCACCCACCTCGACGCAGCAGACACCCAATGCAGAACGCGATTCGTATCAATCCCGCGCAGATACCTCCCTTCTATCACGGTGGGACTGACGATTCCTCCTGAACGACCTACTTCCCTTGGCGGTTTTGATCGGTTGCTGGTGCCAGAGAGTAATCCGATAGATTGTTGTACATACATATACGGCATACCCGTTTCTTTTGCTGCCCAGTTGACGATATATTACCTCCTGCGGAACCCGTACCCCAGCAGCCAACCGCACCCACTAGCTTACGACATTTCCCATACGGAAAGCAGGCCTTTCTGTTCGCCTAGCACGCCTCTGGACACCAAAGAAATCTATTCTCTCCCATGCGCCATTGTGTTCGCAACGTAAAACCCTGAGCTTGCTTCTACCAAGGCGACCCAAAATCCACGTCAATGCCCGGAAAACACCAGAACCTAGCCATCGCAACTCGAGGCTCCGCACTCGACCTGTGTTTAAGCCCAAGTCCGTAACTTCTCCTGGAATAGCCAAACGCCATGCTGATTTGCACACCAGATAGTAAACACTCAGTTGCTACAAGACAGGCAAACGCCGTCAGAAAACTGAATCATACAAGAACAAAGCCCTTGCGCCCTTTGGCAAAAATGGCTACCGTGTCGATAACAAGCGATCTAGAGCCATATCTGGCTTCCCTCCGCAGCTATTTAGCTAGAAACAGACCCGCGTCCCCCGGGTTGGAGGACCGGGTCGACGAGCAATCGAAATGCTCGTCCAAACATCATGGCACAGAGCATTCACGGCCACACGTGGAACGCCCCCAAGGTGCGAAAAACCACGAGAACCTTGGCGGTAGCCGTGTTATGACGCAGGATCGTTCATAACCGCGTGATGAAAGCCTGAGGCCATGTTTCTCTCTGTCGGGGTTGATTTCACCCAAGAAATACTATATATATGATGATTGAGTTGTCAGTCTCTTCCCAAGCAGAGGGGGATAGATGAAATAATGAAAACTTACCTTCCCAGTCCCATTCTTGCATAACACTGACCCAATGTAATTTTCCCCTGACGGTCTTTTCAAATTCGATGTTTTCCAGGGGAGATACCGCAGAACTCCGCCGCGGGTTCCCAGTTCCCCGGGAGGATATCGCCCGCTCATCAGCTGCTGGTCTTCTGTATGACTCTTTAGCAAACCTAGTGGGATGATTTAGATCCCCAGGTGCCATGTTCCCGTAGGGTAATCCATCTCTGCCAACCGGTTCCCGATCATCAAAGGAATTGGAGCGACCCGTCGCTCGGAACTGTCGCCGCTGCTTTTCGGCCTCAAACTGGTCTCGACGAATCCAAACTTCATGGACTACGTCTATGCAGCGATCGATGGAACCCAGCATGACACGGGTCTGGATGGATCCCCATCGACCTAGCACCCATTGCCGGTCTTCCTCCTGATCAGCTTCACATCCGGCGGCTAAGAGAGGAAACATTTGAATAATCGTTGTACGGGAGCTCGGTGGAACCGTGGCCAGCAGCAGTAACACTCGCTTGGCGAGCTCTGACGCCGGCTCACAAGGCATCTCCGGAACAGCTTGATGAAGATATAGAATAGTTGCCCAGCGATAAGCATGTGCGATCTGTAAACTATGTTGTACTTCGGAAGTTGGATCTTCCGGTGGTTCGAACCAGTCAGGGGGCTCCCATTGCTCAACACGCCTTTTCAACTCAATCGCCTCCGAAACGAGAGATATTGAGTTGGAATTAGTCCTCCGTACTCGTTGGATTAACTGGGCAACTCGATCTATGAGCGGAAATAGTGTGGTGGCGCAGCCCATCAGAGGGTCAATCTCATGCACTGCGCCTTTGGGAAGCTGGAGGATGGATAGATCAACTTTTTGATCTCCAGATTCCTCCAACGAGGTTAAGCGTGCAATGACATCCATATACAGCCAAGTGTTGTAAAGGAATCGGATCCTGTCTAGATCGGCTGCGCACAAACCAGCTTGCAATCCAAGTCCCACCACTTGTGATACCAACGCTTTGGCTCCTCGTAGGTGTTGAATACATGAACGTGTGTCCCGGTCCCAGGTGTCAGCAAATGCGAGCGCTAGGCTTGTGGCCAAAGCGGCATCCGCTCTCATATTTTGGATGTCCTGCACCATACAAGCGATGCTCCGGCGCATGTGCTCCATCCCGTGAACTCTCAAGGAAGGGTTTTTCTTACTGCAGTGGAAGGCAGACAGAGAAAAAATTGCGTGGTATAAGGCTGGCGTATCCTTAGCCAGGGGCCAGATCAAGGTCCGCCACGGATTTTCATGGGCCCCATCTTTCACGGATAGTATTCCGCAGGTGTATCGGTCGAAGTGCAAAATCAGCCTTTCAGGACTACTAGCAGATATTGTAGGCTCTTTGAATAGACCAAGGCTGATGTCTGTATTTCCAGACCGTGGAGACACACTGGTCCCTGTAAATTGGAACAGGGTTGGGCTCATACTTGGGTCGGACTGTCGGACGATCGCTTCTAGATCTTCACCATCTCCTTCTAGCAGGGCAGCGAAGCTAAACTCGTCGGATCCATGGAGGGTCTCTTCCCCGGGTATCGCGAGGGTGGTCTCCCCGGGGCTTGTATCAAACTCAGCGGTGGGAAGTGAGATATCCGATGGCCATGGAGACTCATCGGGCGGCACAATCTCTTCTAAAGGTGGCACAAAGACGTCCTCGTCCATGTGTCCCAAGTCTGTGTTTTCCAACAGACTAGTCGCGCAGAATGAGAGATTTTTCTGCGTACTGCGACGCTTGTTCAACGGACATGAAGAATCACTTAATTGAGGGGCAAGGGATTGAACAAAATGACTAGTGTCCATGGGGAGCGACTGCGACGCAGCCGTTTGATCTTTTACTTGTGCTGCTGAGTGCTCTGTGGTAGAAGATGAGATACTTAGGCTCGCTCTTCTGTTAGGAGGAGACGAGGTGACTATATGGCCATATCATCAGTTACTTGGCGATTCTCGTGAGGCTAAGCGGTACGCACCTTTTTTGCTCTTCGCCGTCGATACCCTCCCCGCAACGTTAGTTTCCTCGAATGGGCGCCACTTGAAGTCCTTTTTGTATCCTCCACATTCCACATTTCGTTTCTTGCACTGAAAACAAGTTGGCTTTGACTCGTCGCATTTTAACCGCTTCGCCTTGCAAGTGATGCAACCTGAATGGTGAAAGAGTTGAGAACGTCAGCGCACTGCGCGTTTATAGACCTCTGACTATTTTTTTCTTCTCTTTCTCCTCTCTATTTAATATTTTTTTTTTTTGGCTCGTCCAACTCATCTCTTCTTGAATAACTCAAAGAACTAGTGCTACCGTACCGTTACGGCTCTTTGATTGCTTAGGTTTTCCAGAGATAGGAGCATTTGTGACCGTCTGTCCTGATATCGATTTTGTAGTGGTGGGAGATTTGAGAGGCCTTGAAAGTCCACCGGTTGGAGAAATGGCGGGCTGAGGGTCTAAGATGGCAGATGGGGAAGGGATTTTGATGTCTTCCATGCCCAAGCAAAGAAGTGATGACATGGGTCCTGCCAGGATGGAAAATCGGTATCCAAAGGTGAGGAAGAAAGATGCCAAGCCAAGAAGGTGTGAGTTGTACAAACACAAAGATGCAATAATAATAATAATGAGAGAAGCACTTCCCAGTGGGAGTTCACGGAGATTGTGGGCTTCAACTCAAGATCCAGATGAGAGTCGAACAGATAAGGGTTAGCCGCCTCAGACGGGAAGGAAGTGGGATAGATAGGGAAGGGGCTCGAGTACTCCAAGTAATAGATAATGAAAGGCCGAAGGGTGAGGAGAAACCGGCATCAGTGATAAGAGTTGCACTAGGGCCGCAGGATTGCGGAGACAACTGGAGCAAGGCGGAAGGCGCGGACTGGATGCCGATCCAGTAGGCCAGAGCTCAGACCGGGACAAGACCTGAAATCCCCATAGGCATGAGGCGCACGGTTTTCTTTTTCTTTTTCTTTTCTTCTCGTATGCAATTCTATCTCTGGTTAAAAGAGAAGGAGGGGTACCAAAAGGGGGGGAATGTCGGCAAACACGGTGGACACTCACCTCGTAAATGAGTCCAGCGGATGGCTCTCCGTCGGCTAACCATGGGAGCCAAGATGCAGGAATTCAAAGTCATTGGAATTGATATCACGGACAGAAAGGGGCCAGTGGTTAATAAAATCGTCATGAATCAGTGATAGGGTTGGACGGACGCCACTCGGGGAGGTTAACAAATATGAGATGACGATTTAGACGGCGGTGGTTGGTTCGTGAGAGAAAAAGATTCCCCCCTCTTTTAGGTTTTGATAGGTGGTTTCCGACGAACGGAGTGAATTTTGGGACGGTCGATGGAAATCTGGAGTGGAAAAGTGGGAACCAGTACATGTACCGCCGTCCAAGCTAGTATACAACCGTACTTCGACCACGGTATGTACTGTCCCTCGTCGCAGGAACATCCACGTACCGCTTGTAATATACTGGTCCATACAACTAATTCGGAATTACAACTGCCCCAGCCGGTGACCTCACGTTGGCTCGCCAACTTCTCCAGCCCTGGAAAACCCCACATAACAACCGCCATGTGCGACAATATTGACGCACGGGTCGTTGGATGTGTGGCGGTTAGTCTTCCTTGACTGGGAATGATCTTTTTCTTTTTCCCTTCTTTTCTTTTTCTAGTCCTTTCGCTCGATATTTGACTGAGGGAGTTTCAAAGATGTCGCCCTTGATCCAGGCCCACCGGGGATGGTACTTGATCAGTACCAGGAAGTTGTCGCACTTCCAAAAGTACTTACGTTCTCGAACCAGGATCGTACCCGTTCAAGTCAGGTGTGCATTGTGACCATGCGACACGTGATAATGCATTGGCTTGGACATATAGCAATCCTACACATGTCCACTCCTTGTTCCAGATTCATGGGGTTCGAATCATTGTGGGCCATGTGTAACTATTTTAAAGTCCAGCGGAAACCTGCAACCTGTCATTATGTTGGATATCCTGTCATAAGACTGATTTCCTTCCTTGGGTTTCATTGATCAGTGAAATGATGACGAAGCCTAAGCTGGCTGACGTTCCATGGTTGGAGCTGGCGGGTTAACCAAGCTTCAAATCCCCTCCTTGATAGAAACCTTGAAGCCCTACAAGAAGCACAAGGAGTCTTTCGATTGAAATGAATATGTCGTGAGGCATGTACCCGGGGCGGACAAAATCATGCCCTTACTATAGCAATCAGTAGGAACCCCTCGAAAACCGAGAGATGCGGAGAATTTTCGGGAAACCGGTCAAGACACCATAGATCCTTCATTATTATTACTACCTGTTAGTATGAGACCCACCAGCCAAAACGAAAACAAAAACAAAGATTGAATATAGACTCCCCGCCAGGCAATAGTTGGACACATGACCTCCTTTCCACACTTATCTGCAGGGAGTCTAGAAGCAACACGCTGGATAGGGCCTGTACTAGTCATATGTGGCCGGTACTAGTACTTCGGTCCATTTCCGCGGGCGAATGATTCCTTCCATGGGTAATCTGATCGACAACCTCGTTGGCAACCTTGATCTGGCTGAAGAAACAACAAGAAGCAGCTCCTCTCCTTGAGTTGCATGTCAGCTTCTTATGATGCATTCTGATACCATCTCCTTGATGGTCTACAATGGCTGTCGTGTTTGAATGGGCATTAATGACCGACCAACGGATAAATTTCCTCAGATCTGCGTTCCGGAAACGAGTCCCCCACGTTCAACTCCACGTTTCCCCCGCTCCCCGCTTCTCCAACTTTTGGCTAGGAAAGTTTACCTGGCCACATCCCGAAGTCAATATCTCACTGACGGTATTTGCAAACTTTATCGGCTATCTATCCATCAGTGCTTCAAAGGTTCTATAATTCGACAAAGCCATTCATAGTCAATCAAGAATAGGATCTCCCTGATGCATTGGGTGTCAATGAGGCACTGACATCACTAAGAAATATCACTTCATAAAAGGTCGAGAAGTTCAATCGGCCATTGTTTCATTAATGTATCATCCATAGCTCACCAATATCTCACGGGCCCTTTGTCCGTCTTCAACCGGTAGAACCGAGCAACCCGAACCCGGCCCGGTCAGCTGACAGGTGGAGAGTGAACCATCAGGCGCTGAAGTCCTGACCGATCCGCCTCGAAAAGAATGTATCTTAGGCCTCGGATCTTGTGCGCATTGTCCATTACAGTGAGTACTAAGCTATATCCGAGGATCGCAATATTTGGCTTCCAATGTACTGTATTCAATAGTACGCGCCAACCAGATGCAAACCTGCGCCACCGATAAGTCATGGGATCAACCCTTACAGGTTATCGATGTTTAAACAAGTCACAGAACTGTTGGGATTCCCAATGATACTGTAAGACCGTTATTGTCATGGATGACGCGGACAGTTTTACGAGAACGCTATCCCTTCGGATGCTCACATGAACCCTTTCCTCGCATTGCACAATCGTTTAGCTACTGCTAGACTAGAATCAGATGCCATAAAGGGGGAATCATTAGGCGTACATGTAACTCTGGGAATGCCTGTTATCTTCTTAATTGGCTCATACATGCGGCCCAGACGATGTCTCGCTGCATCCCGGATCCTGGGCCTTCTTGACCCCAAATCGTTGTCCCAAGACAACGTATTGGGCCACGGTGAATGCTCTCTGGAAGCACATGCCATCCTTGTCGCGAAATGCCTTGATGAAATCGCGCTGCACCGCATCGTTGTCGAAAAATCCCAGCTGGTTGACATTTTCTTCTGTCAACAGTCGTTTTAAGCTGTTGTGTACGGGGCCATCTTCTTGGTATGTAAATGGTCCGACAAATGGGTGCTTGGTACGGTTATAGATTTCCTCCGTAACAAATGGCTTCATAGCTTCACGCAGGATATGCTTTTCGCGAAAGGTTTTACTCTCAGGATCATATCTGATTTTGAGACTTGGCGGGATATTATTTGCATACTCCGTAACGTAATGGTCAAGGAATGGCGGTCGTGTCTCAATCTGGTGGACCATGTCAATATTATCACCGATATAGCGGAGGATATAGTTCGCGAGAACGGTTTTCATCCATTGATACTGCGTTGAATGAAGAGGATGCCATTTCTCCATCATCTTGTGGAGGACCTGAACACCGAAGTTCTCTGCAAATGCTGTGGACGGGGGCCTCAGCATAAACTGATCGGTCCAGGATGAGTATGGCAAACTGATTATCGTGCTTAGTCGGGCGCTTAACGTGGTATTGTTAAGCATACGCTTTGTTGGAGCGGCCACTTCGTCCATGCCCACCGTGAGTACTCGATCTCTTTCCTCCAAGACTTTCCAAGCTTCTGCAATGTCAGCCTGCTTAGCCAGGGACTGTGGCCATGAAGGATCCGGCTCCAGAAGGAAATTTGGCAGCAAGTCAGAGTAGCCCGAGAAGTGCTCATCGGAGCCTTCGCCTACGATCGAAGCACTATTAACATAGCTGGTCATTGATGCTACATTGGACAGCGACGCTCACCTGTGAGGATGACCTTTTTTCCCATAGCCCTAGCGGCCTCAGCTACTGCCAGCCGCCCCATTCCATTGACATTGGCGGCCGGCGTTTCACTATACCAGACTGTATCCTCGAGCCTGGCGGCAATGGCCTCCTCATCCAAGTATATAGGGTGATATCCCACGCCTAACCACTCGGCTGTTCGTCGCGCGATCTCTGCCAACGTTCAGGGGATATGTTCAGGGGGAAATACCAAAGTTGTTAAACGTACCTGACTCGTCGAACCCACTATCCTTTTCAAATTGGACTGTGAAGCAGTCTATTTTTGAACGCTCACCGCTTGTGTCGTTTCCGAGCTTGGTTCCTTCCTGGACAAGCTTCACGGCCATACCTGCTATGGCGGACGAGTCTAGCCCTCCACTCAGGTAGATCCCCAGGCCCACATCAGCACGCAGTCGGATTCGGACAGCGTCGAGCATAAGCTCCCTGACTCTATCTATTACTTCGTCTTCGGAATGCGGGTAGACTGTTTTCTATATCCGGTCAGAATCTCAATGGGATGCGTGCTTGTTGGGTGTCCCTTACTTTATCTGGATAATCGGTATCCCAGTACATTCCCACTTCAGGTGTCTTGAAGTTCTGACTGACCATATACTGACCAGGGGCAAGCTGAGTGATCGTCAGATACAAGCAACAGCAATGAAAATACTTATCTACGACATCCCAGGGACTGGGTGTAGATTGTACGTACTCTATGCACCCCTTTGAAGAACATTCGCGAGCCGCTCATCCAGGCTCCTTCCCTGATACATGTGATATCCCATTGTGGCTTCCAGCCAAAAGGCAGGAAAGACTTCATTTCCGTAGCGACTAAAAGCCGATTGCCAACCATGGTATAGTACAGTGACTTGACACCATATCGATCACGGGCTGTCAAGAACAGCTTGCGATTCGCGTCATAGAGGACAAGAGCAAACTCGCCTCTTAATTTGTTGAGAAAGGAGATTCCGTAATGTCGGTAGAGTGCGATGACGATTTCACAATCGCTGTTACTTTTGAAGCTGTATTCATGAGCCAGCTCCGTTCGATACTGCTCATGGTCATAGAGCTCGCCATTGACGACAGCATGAATCGCGTTCTCGCTGTCGTGGAAAGGCTGGTTCCCTGCAGGACTCAGGTCGATGATGGAGAGTCGGACATGTCCCAGACCTTGTCGCAGATTAATTCCTCGCAATCGGCTATTTGTGGAATACAGATTACCTACCAACCCTGTGGTCCGGGCTGAACCAACGACCACGCGCATCTGGACCTCGATGATTGACTAAGTCTAAGCTTTCCTCGAGCTGTTCCTCTAGGCCGAGGAAATCATTGGCACAGTGAGCACAACCAGGTGTTCCCCCCACAGTCACGAAGGCCGTTAATCCACACATGGCGAGGGTATCGAGACAGTGAAGTCAATGTGAGATGGGGGAAGATGGAGAGAGAGGCACAGCACCGAATATGTAACGTGCCCACCCTCAGATTGCAAAGAAAGGGGAATAAGCTTATATCTCTATTGGAGATGCTCAGAGCGTCCAAGTTCATTGTCCTTATATGTATGTCAGACCTTACATCCCTGTCTTATACGATGCTTACGGCCCAGCCACTACATCTGTTGTCCACACAGGAGCAATCATGGAAGGCCTTGTGTGATGATGCGCCACCAACTCGACGATGCAAACTCTGTTCTCGTCCGATACAAGGCAAGTTGATCGGCGTTTGGCCCCATATACTAGTAGCGACGGTTCTCATTTGTTGGAAGTTCATGGGGGGCCAGGGGTACATACAAGAATGAGACGTCATCCTTTGTTACATTCAAGAGGCACACTTGGAGAGTGTTGGCCCATCCAATAGATATTAGTGCTCGTGCTCGGATGTAACAGCAGTAGAGAGACTCTTTGTTCGTTGTTGTAGCGAAAATCGGCACTTCCATCGCAGGGATGGCGGGGAAACGGGAACCCCAGAGCCGACCGAGGTTGGCGGGTCGGCCCATCTCTCTTTAGTCATTATCGCCGCGGAGGTAACATCATAAATGAAACTATTCCTTTCCATCTTTTCTTCCTTTCCTTTCCTCTCTTCTTCCCTTTCCTCCAGACACCTTTCACTTGATCGTGAATCTATCGCACTGTCTTAGATCATGCTTCGATCAATTCCTCGTCGAATCCCTCGACGCCTTCCGACTCCCTCGTCCCCATCTCGCCTCGCCCTGCGTTCCTTCACATGCGGTTATCCGCGGATGTCGGTGCCACCGCTATCCGCTGTTGAACCCCCCGTGTCGACAGCATTACCAAGCGATTCCTACCAACTTCTATCGACGGCTGACAAGGCTGGAGCAGCTGAGGATGCTTTGTACGAGCAACAGATCAAAGATGTGGAAGCGTGGTGGCAGTCGCCGCGTTTCGAGGGCATCAAGCGGCCCTATTCGGCTGCGGACGTTGTCAGTAAACGCGGCTCAGTACAACAGACGTACCCCAGCTCCTTGATGGCGCGGAAACTGTTCAACTTGCTGAATGAGAGAGCGGCGGAAGGCAAACCAGTTCATACCAGTAGGTGTCCGTTCAATACAGAACGGGCGAGTACGACGCTGACGATGCCTTTACAGTGGGCGCCATTGATCCGGTGCAGATGACGCAGCAGGCCCCGAACCAAGAAGTCCTGTATATTTCCGGTTGGGCATGCTCCTCTCTTCTGACTACTACCCATGAAGTATCGCCAGACATGGGTGACTACCCGTACAACACCGTTCCGAACCAAGTCCAGCGACTGTTCAAAGCTCAACAACTGCATGATCGCAAGAACTGGGACGCTAGACGGAAATTGACCCCCGAGGAGCGGAAATCTACCCCTTACGTAGATTTCATGCGACCGATTATCGCGGATGGAGATACTGGGTATGCTATGCGATTGAACCCTGTGAGAATTCAGTGACTAATGGCCACTCTTGTAGACACGGAGGACTCTCTGCCGTCCTAAAGCTTGCCAAGCTCTTCGCTGAGAATGGCGCTGCTGCGGTCCATTTCGAAGACCAGCTCCATGGCGGAAAGAAGTGCGGTCACCTCGCAGGCAAGGTCATTGTGCCCGTGGGCGAGCATATCAACCGGCTTGTTGCCGCTCGTTTCCAGTGGGATATGATGGGCTCTGAGAACCTCCTGATCGCCCGCACAGACTCGGAGAGTGGAAAACTGCTCAGCAGTGCTATCGATGTGCGCGACCACGAGTTTATCTTGGGTGTTACAGAGGAGGTCGAGCCTCTGGCAGAAACCTTGCAGGCAATGGAGCGGGAAGGCGCTGCCCCTGCCGAGATCGATGCTTATGAAATGGACTGGGTCAAGAGCCACAAGCTTGTCACCTTCGACGAAGGTATTCACATCTGTTTCCCTGTCTGAATTATCCATATACTGACCTTGTTAGCTGTTGACGCACACCTCGAGAGAGAAGGGGCGGCTCAGTCCGTCAGGGATGCATACAAGACGCGAGTCCAGGAGAATCCCGACCTCTCTATTACCCGCCGGAAGGCCCTCGCAAGTGACTACACCAAGACCCCAGTGGTCTGGTCCTGGGATATTCCCCGGACGCGGGAAGGCTACTACCATTACAAGGCTGGCTTCCCAGCAGCCACCAAGCGAGCCAAGGAATTTGCCCCCTATGCAGACCTACTCTGGGTGGAAACCGGCGATCCCAACGTCGAGAAGGCTGCCAAGTTGGCCGGCGACGTACGGAGCGCCTTCCCCGGCAAGAAGCTGGTCTACAATCTGAGTCCGTCGTTCAACTGGATGGGACAGGGCTTCACCGAAGAGTCCCTCAAGTCATTCATCTGGGACCTTGCCCCGCACGGGTAAGTTGCGTTTACTGACATGAGTAATTACACAAACTAATACGCTATTTCCTACAGATTCGTGCTGCAACTGATCTCCCTCGCCGGCTTACACACCAACGCCACCGTGACAACGGAGCTTTCTCGTGCCTTCAAGGACGAGGGCATGCTCGCGTACGTGCGCCAAATCCAGGCACGTGAGAAGGAACTCGGGGTCGAGGTCCTTACTCATCAGAAATGGAGCGGTGCGCCGTACATGGACGGGATCCTGGGTGCCATCCAAAGCGGCAACAGCAGTAGCAAGAGCATGGGAGAAGGAAACACAGAAAAGGGTAAGATCTTTTACTACTATCACCATACAGAGCCCTGTTACTAACTTGACGTGCAGGTTTCTAAAAAGGTGTCGGCGGATACAGACCTGACAAGGTCAAACGAGAGTCGATGTTTAGTGATGCATTGAATGTAAACCATAGACCCCTATTTACGACTGTTAATTTTTTTTTTTTTTTGCCCACGTCAGGAATATACCTAGTAATCTTTAACTTTCCTGTTCTCCTTAGATGTAACGTCTACTCTCACAGAATACACAACTATAGCATAAATAGATCCTCCATCCCATCGACCACTAATCAATCCATAAAACCCATGATCAGCACAAGACCATACCAAGCACTCAAAGTAGCAAAAGGCAAAAAAAAAAAGAAAGAAAGAAAGAAAGAAAGCAAAAAAAGAAAAAAAAAACCAGCTAGAATCCCAAACCCAATAACCCAATAAACTGGGAAAGCAGGTAAGTACACCCAGCCCAATAACCATTTAAACACGAAGTACAACATGCATAAAAGCACATATGTATGCATATTATGTACTCAATATAAATCTCCCAACAAAAAATTATATACGGCCCGAGAATAAGTACACCGTACCGGCCGTCCATAGTTTAAACCTGTAGTAGTTAAGTAGTGAGTAATTTTACCTTGATAATGCTTGTTTTCTTTTTTCTTTTTGGTTTAAGGTTTATTGGGGGGGAGGTATTACTGTACGCTATACTATACTGCGTTACGGATTTTTTTTAGCTTCTTTGGTATTATATGTACTCCGGTACTACTACTAGTACTTACTAACATACTTACTGCCCGTACCTGTATAGCTGTATAGCTGTATAGTTGTATAGTGTATCCGATTCCATGGCTTGGTGATTAGTGGGTATTTACGGTATCCTATATCTAGATCTAGATCTTGTTTGGTTCTTTTTTTTCGCTAGTTTTATTGGTGATACTGTTTTATGTTATTATTCTTGTGGTTCTGGTGGTCATGCTAAGATTTATATATCTCCGATCAGTTAAAAGGGCTTCATTCTCGTAGAGATACAGGATATTCACATTGCACTGCTAATATGAAAAAAGGATCGGGAAGTATAAAAGAGTAGAAATTCACCAGTCTTGCACCTCCAGACAAAGAAATCGAAATACCTTACAGTAGTAACAGCCAGAAACGAAGAGAAGTCGTAAAGAACATGGGTGGTCCACGGACGCATCAAGCGGACTCGTGATTGGGATGAGGCAAAAAGCATGTATCCAGATCAACAGGGCTTAAACACTGGCAAAGCTCAAGACATACTCTGGGGCAGATAGAGAAACAAGTTGCGAAGAAACTAAAGCACAATTTTTCCCCTCAAAAAATTACTCGCTGAAGAACCGACAAAACAGCTGCAATATCGTAGCAGATTAATTGACACGGAACGAATCAAAGATGACTAGAATGCGGTCAGTCACGTCTTGCATGCACGGGATTGCGATTCCGACTAACCTTCATGGCCCCTGCGGCAACCACTGCCAACCCACATCAAGGTGTTCAAAAATGCGTAGCGCTCGTCGCCAGTCTCCATGGTGAGATTGATACGGTACTTGTACGTGTTGGGGTTGATCGTGTCCGCGACGCCCGGATCGTTGACCTTGTCCAGAACGTCCTTGGCGCCTGTGAGCCACCCATTGGTCTTCACGATGATATAAGCCGGGGGATCATCTGCGGTTTGAAGCATGTAGCTTGCGCGAAGGCTGGTCGCGGATTCCTTGGTCACAATCTGCGAATCTTGTCCTCCGGGCTAAAAACTTAGTCAGCTTATCGCGCTCGAAATCATTGGTTGGTGAATCCTCCAACATACCAGCACGATACCCTTGCCCCATCTGCCAGCCCATTGGCCACCAACAAACGTGACCCAATCTCTCTGGCCCCAAAGGCTCTGGCCAACAGCCACCTTCGGGTTCATCTTTATGCTCATGCGGAAGTCCAGTTCAAGAGTAGGCGCGGGGATCTGCAATGAGCGAGCCACGTCGCCTTCAGGGAAAGTGTGGAGGAGGTTGTTGGCGGGGATCGAATCCTTCATCACGCTGAGGTAGGTGGGACATTCCAAGAGATGTTGACGCTGGCGGCTCGTGTTCTTGGCGCGGACTTGCTGGCAATAGATGCATTGGACGGAGAGACACTGGGCCCCAGTCAGACAGGGATGCTCGGCAATATCAGGCATGGCACTAGCGGAGGCATATCTTACCTTGTCTTCCTCCTTCGCACGAAACTCGACAAACGCAGCATGCACATCATCCAAAGGAGGAGCGGGCAAACTTGAGGACGAAGTTTTCGGTTTAGACTTGGGAGTCGCACGAGCAGCTTGTTGCGATGGGGGACCAGAGGATGTGCCGGTGGGGCCGGAAGTTGGAAGGGAAGCGCGGCCTGGCATATTCTGCAGTGGCGTCTGCATTGGGGTAGCATGGGGATTGACACCGTTCGACATCATGGGCCCGTTGGGAGTAGGCAGGGCACCTGGGCCAGGACCAGCGCCTGGTGCAGTGGCTGTAGCGCCATTGGGAGTAGGAGGGTATCCATTGGTAGCACCGATACCGTTGGGGGCGGACGGAGCAGTCTGAGACTGAGCCTGGGGGTTGGTATGGCCACGGAGACCGGGGCACTCCAGCAGGTGCTGCTTCTGACGCGAGGTGTTTTTGGCGCGGATCTGCTGGCAGTAGATACACTGGACGGAGAGACACTATCGCGCAAACAAAGTGGTCATGTCAGTATCGCGGTGTTGGGGCGGCGGGCTGAAATATTACGGAAAATACAAAGACACGCACCTTATCGTCTTCCTTGGCGCGGAACTCGACGAACGCCGCGTGAACTTCCTGGTCGACGGTACGACCCATGTTCACGACAAAAGGATTGATGAAATCGATGGTGGATGGATTATCTGAAGCGATTAGATTAAAGAAAGAGATGATCGCAATGGCTCAGTCGACGGAACAGGATGGAGGTACGGGCGCTGGTCGAGCAGAAGGCAGCGAGACTCGGGGGAAGAAAGTGAAAAGGAAAGAGTTGACGGGCAGGAGAAAAACGAGACGAGACGAGACGGTGGCGGTTAAGTTACGCGAGCTCGTCAGGACGAAAACCTTACCGTCGGCGTAAGTTTGATCCCGCGGCTGATACCATTCCTGAAATTACCAATCCATTTCGCTCTTCTCTGATGCCAACTGAGCATTATTTTCCCTTTCCCCTGCTAATTCACTCTATCTTCAAAATCACGCCATTATCAACTTCTTCTTATCACTCGTTTCCGCCTCCATTGTCTTGCTATGCTTGCCAACGCCTTCTGGTGTGAAGCCTTGTCTCTCAGGTGGAAAGTCTAAAATTGTCACGCGGCAAATGCTGACTCAAGATGGTTTTACCCAATAAGCATGCGCAGATAGTGTACGGCATACAAGGGAGCCTTAATTCAATACAGTTATTTTAAGAACCAAATAAACTATGAATACCTCCAGAGATGTAAAGTGAATGGGAGGTTCCATTGAAAGCTCAACTCAATCCAAATACTGTACTGACAATCCTCCTTTTCTGCGATACCCGGTACCCTCGTACTGTATAGCGGATACGCCCATACAAAAGTACACTCGGGTCAGGTACTGATCGGCGCTTACAGTTCATCATACCGCGTCAGCACAAACTCACCACCCTCCAAGCCCAATTCCCATCTTTCACCGGGTATCAAATACGTGAAAACCATCCTTATCAGTGCCAGTAAATTCGTACGTAGTTTATTTCACCCCGTAGATCTCGAAACCTTGGGATCTCCAGTTGACCAACACCACGTCACACAGTCAACTCCAAGCCCAGCACCAGATCGGATCGGATCAGATCAGATCAACTCAGATCCTCTGTGTACACAGTAAAGGAGGTTGCGTTGTGGGCACAGCCACCACCAAAATCACGCGTTCCGTGTCTGCGCGGGAAGGCCTAATCTCATGTCTTAGACTTCACTCCATTGTTCTTCTGCCTTAGTAATTGCTTGAGGTAGAAATAGAGGTTCATTTGGGGATGTTCTAGGCGAGGGTCTGTCTATCTATAGATATACTTTGGAACGGAGCCCAACCGCATCTGGTTTACAAAACAACGGATAGTTTATTTACCATGCGGGTTGATTACTGCGTACCTTGGATGTGACGGGTGTTTGGCGATGGTTACCTGCTGGTTCTTCGTCTTGGTTTTGCCCCCTGGTAATACTGTATCTTCATACATTTGGTATGGCCCTAATTATGACCGTGTTTTTCAGTGGGAATATAACCAGCTGTCACGCTATGCTTTACAATGTTTGGTCGGCTTTTCCAAGGTCAAGATCTGAAACTTATTACGAGAAGAAAAAGAGAAAGGAGATTATACTTGGCACTGCAGAATAGAAAACGAGCTGATGATAACGATGGGGAAACATAAATAGGAAAAAAAAGAAACGACCGACCAGGGACTCGAACCCTGAATCTTTGCTTTACTACAAGTGGAACCACCATAGGAGAGCAACGCCTTACCATTAGGCCAGCCGGCCGAAGGTTGATGCAAAAGACCGGTAGTAAGCACTATAAGGTAAATAAAATACAAAGCACCCAACATCGCTAACTTCGCCTGATAGGGCCGGAAGCAGTCTTGCCCGCCGTCGGATATAGGCCCATATTGGGTACTATTACCTATCGATTCCTATCAGGCATTGTACATTTCACCGTTTATTGTTGGGATTGAAGCAATATGGTATATTTAATTAGTAAGTTAAGTATGTCCATTGGTCAAAAGTCGATATATACAGTCATAAAAGCATACATGATATACTTGAAAAAATAGCTTCTACCACCCAAATTTCTCAGCATGTAGATATATGCCTTGTGCCCCTGTTCCCTTATGCACTGCCCGTTCGTCGCTCAAGTACACCACACTCCGGCGCACATCGTCTGATAGACCCTGCGGCCCACAGACCACCACGGCACTTTCGCCTTCGGCTTTCTCCAAGACTTTGCGAATAATGGTTCGTGGTCGCGGTCGACCGGAGAACATGGGAAGCTCGGGCGCCCTAACTGGCGCAGCTTTAATATCCAGCTTCTCTGGTTCCGGCACCGGAACCTGAGAGGCAGGGGCATGACCGGAGCAGGAACATTTATGTTCGGTGATGCTGTCATTGTCCTCGTCTTCAATGGCAGTTGTGCAGCAGCATCCACCATTAGGAAGGCAGCCATTCTGTGATGCGGAATCCGTGGAAGAAACCTTGGAGATCGAATGGGTCGAAACATCGTCCTTTTTGCTGCGTTTTTCATCGGTGATAGCAGCTGGTTCGATAGTCTTGGTATCTTGACGAGTGCTGACAATTGTGGATTCAGGCTGGGCCTGCGAGCAGAGAGTCTGGGCTTGTTGTGGCTGTGGCTCCAGCTTTTCGTCACAGGTCACATATATGCTCAATTCGATCTCTCGGATCATGTCGGGCTGAGCACGACGACATTCTTCTACGTCAGACAATACGGACTGTAACTGCGTCTCAAACCAGCTAAGTTGAGCCCGCGACTTGATCACCCATACAAAACGGATACGTTTGGTCGGCGTGAGGCGTGGGGATTTGTTGGACTGCTCCTTCGCTCCGAGACATTCCATTTTCCATTGTGACACAATATCTCGCAGACAGGGTATAATGAAAGTCACACCCATCCCTCCCGCAAGCAGTACCACACTGTCGAACTGACGGAGAGGTCTCATCCTTCCGTATGGTCCGTCAATGAACACGGTACGGGCCGGTTTTACAGCGGCAGTATCCCCGGAGCCTAAAACGTGGTGATGTTTAGATGCATAACGGAAGAACCGCCGAGTGCCTCCTTTCTCAGAGCGTACGAAAAACTCCATTTTGTTGTCCGCAGGGATAGAGGCGATGGTGAATGGGTGGCTTTGCAGGGGTACTATCGAATGACATGTCAAGAACACGTGCTGTCCGGGTTCCCATCGGATGCCCGGGCTGTCGATTGTAATGCGAGTGACATTTCCTGGTAAGGGAGTAAAAGACGCCCGGTTAGCCCAGAGAGCATGCTTCGTCTCCGATGTGGAGCGGTGGAAGATGGACAAATTGGCATATGTGGCCCATGCGTATCGCGCGACGCGGTCAAAAACGAGCAACCCGATAGAAATCCACACCCACACCTTGACTTCTTGCGCGGCGTGTAACCAAACTGCAACAGTAAATCCAACAAATGTCACGAGGTGTTGTAAGACGAAGAATTCATAACTGAGTCGTCGTATGGGCGCCATAGATGATAGGACGATAAATGTCAGAATACACCACGCAGCAAAGCCCCGTTGCGACAAGGGATCGTTTTTCAGTTGGTACGTGATGTAGTCGTAGCGTCCCCAGCTCCGGAACCAAAAGCCCATATGAATCGTAACCGTTAGCCAGAGAGTCCGGGAAATCCAGCGATGGAACCAATTTAATCTCTCATAACTCATGCCGACGAGGAGTCCAATGATGTTCTGTCTTCCTGCCAGCAGGAATATCAGAGGCATCTGGGCAATAGCTACAAATCCGGTGCGATAGCCAACATTTTCCCATGACCATTGGTCCGTTGTGTCTAACTTGTAGAAGCAGAAGACAAGGACCACGACTAGATTGGCTAAGATGATGGCTAGTGGACCTAGCGGAGCAAAGTGGAAGATACGGCCACCTAGTGACCATGGGGGCAACGTTGCGTAGCTTGCTTCTCGAACGATGGCCGTTAGAGTAGCGCATGTGTTGAAGAATAGTGATTTGGGTTTGGACGGGGTGAGAGTGGAGTCCCGTAGTCTATAGCTGCGAGTAAGCTTTCTTGTATCTCTTGATGCACACAGGCGGGGCATACTGACCTTTGAAATGCGAGGAGATTATTGAAAGCATTGACTGCTGTCCCAGCAGCTATGGCGCTTCCTACCACAGCCCAGTACATCTTCTGGAGATAGAAGAGGCCTGGCACGCCATCGCCCATGGACATATGGCCCATTGGGCCCATGTCCATCCCACCCATCGACATGGTGGCGTTGTGCGTGTTTGTTTCTTTGCGATGTTCGGTTGTGACGGATATGGGTTAATCTTCAATCGAGAATAATAACCATTAATTGAATAACGCTATTGCGGGGTATCATGTCATCTTTTTGAAGTTCTCACGTGGTGGTATCTGCGTCGACTGAAGCGTGATTCACCGGGAAATCAGTAGGAAGTCATGATTGGTGTGAAGAGAAGGAGAAGAGGGAGAAAGAGGGATAGATGTAATTAGCAGAAATGACCGAAAAGATCCCATACGCTTATCGGATGGATAGAACAACCAGGTCTCCATCGAGTTAAGTAATTATTAACGCGTGTTCTCTGCATGAATTTTATTTCCATTATTTGGTTTGTTTCCATTTCCACCCCGAAGACTAATAATCTGCTCAGACTACAAGGTAGATGTTTGCGGATGGAGCCCTAATCTCTGGTCCATGATTGGCCTCGGTCCTTAAAATGTGCTCACGTCTCCACCCTTCGGCTGCTGGTGTGACACTTGGCTCTGGTCCGCATTCAAGCCCGTCTGGTTTGTCTCAACTTTTAATAAAGATCCCAACGCCGGCTCTAATCATCATGGCATTCTCTCTCCACTACGTCGTGTTTTCTTTTCCCTCTTCTCGCTCGCCCTTTTCGCCTTCCCTCCTCAGCATCCCGAGCATCGCTACTTGACTGCAACGACAACTATCTTGTCAATCTCTTGATTGATTTCAGGAAAGAGATCTGATATCCGATATAGCGGGGCGCATTTATCGATATCACTATTTTAAAGACTCACCCGCAGAGGGAACTCCAAAGCCGTCATCATGGATATGAGCAGCATGGATCATTCGTCACACTCGTCCTCTTCGTCATCCTCATCATCCATGACAATGTCGATGGCAATGGTCTTCGTTAATACCCAGGACACACCCCTGTTCTCGAATCAGTGGACTCCGTCATCCAGTGGCGCGTATGCTGGCACGTGCATCTTCCTTATCATTCTATCGATTATTGGCCGACTCCTGGTTGCGTTCAAGGGCGTCATGGAACAGTACTGGTTGAATGCTCATTTGAATCGTCGCTACGTGACCGTCGCGGGCAAGTCAACGGAAGCTGGTCGTATCGACGCCGACCCGGATGCCAAAGTGGCTTCACTCGTGTCAGCACAAGGGGTGGAAGAGTCCGTCAAAGTTGTGCGCCGGGCTACACACGAGCCCCTTCCGTTCAGATTTAGTGTTGATCTGCCGCGAGCATTCCTTTTTCTCTTGATTACAGGGGTATCATATCTGCTGTATGTATTGACTCACCATTCCTCGTTGACTCAAGTACTAATTCCCTTTCCAGCATGTTGGCTGTCATGACTATGAACATTGGCTACTTCTGCTCTGTGTTGGGTGGCGCTTTTCTAGGCGAACTGGCCGTGGGGCGGTATATACAATGGAATGAGCATGGCCATTGACGACACTTTTGCAGCCATGATTCTTATTTTCCATGTTTGCAATCTGAGTTTGGCGTTTGGACACTTGATATTGCCACCAATGGCTCTGGAGTCAAGGCGAGCATTGCATGCATTTAGTGGAGTTTGGAGCGTTTCAATGATTTTTCCGTGATACCTCTATCAGTTGTTATTATCATGAACTTTCCTCGGAGGTACCAATTGCGAGACCATGTGCCCACTTTCATGTCAATGATTGCCAGTAAGATAAATATTAATTTTCCATGTGGCACTTGAATGCCACCTCAGGCGATGTTACCTCGCCTAGGAAATTTTCCGGGGCTTTCGGTCTCATAATTGTCTTTCCCCTTTGACTACTAGTACATGAGCTCATTCCAGCCCAATAAACTTCAACTAGGGTTCGGGTCAAGATGGCGCGATGACTGAACGCTGGAGTGCCTCAGGCCCAAGGATCTCGGTCGTGGTTGATTTGTGCCTCTCCCCATTGGTCCACATTGCCGACCATGGGGCTCCACCTGCAAACTGCAGGTGCTTTGAAGCTTTGAGAAGATATGAGCACATTTCCTAGCCGTTTCCATCTTAGCCTCTGTGCGCACGTTCTTGATCCATGTCAAGCAAACACGATGGCGCTCAACTCCAGTCCGGATTTTAAAGAAACCTCATAACATGTCAATGATGCTTGGATAATGTGGAACTTGGGTCCGACGCATTAATTTCCCCAAATTTCCAATTGATAACAGTTTGGTCCCAATGAGTAGAAAAGTGCCGAAGTTGCCGATCGATGCCCACTGCACCTTCTGTTAACCAACCCCCCCAATACTATATAATATTATCAATTCCCCTATCGTATTTGTCTGTCATTCCTCCCTCTACATACCTGTATCCCGCTCGAGTTTCTTGACTCTCAACTCCACAGCCACTATGAAGCTCTCAATCCTGTCCCTGGCGTCTCTTGCGCCCCTGGTTTCGGCTCACTTCAAGCTGAACTACCCGACTAGCCGTGGATTCGATGAGGACAAGATGTCTCAATTTCCCTGCAGTGGACTGTCTCAATCTTCGGAGCGGACGAAAGTCTCTCTTTCCGCCGGTGACTTGCCTGTTGCCTTGACATTGGGCCATGCCCAGACAGCTGTGGAAGTACTTCTCGCTCTCGGAAACGACCCTGGTACCAATTTCAACATCACTCTTCACCCGACCTTCCGAGTGGAGGGCTTGGGCTCATTCTGCCTCCCCAATGTCACTTTCGATGAGTCCGTCGTCGGCGTAAAGTTGACGGAGGGAATGAACGCAACTCTCCAGGTGCAGAGCAACGGTGACCCAAGCGGTGGTCTCTACGCCGTACGTCTTGAATCAATCAATCCTTATGTGGTGTAGGGTACTGACGTTTCATTTTTAGTGTGCTGATATCCAGTTCACGGAGGTGGACTATTCCGCACCTTCCTCTTGCTCGAATAACACTGGGGTGAAGGCGACTTCATTCACCGGGGACGCCGCAAAGCGCAATGCGAACGAGTCCACTGCTGACGGCCAGGCGCAGAGCGGCTCGTCTTCCCCTTCTTCTAGCAGTTCTTCTACCGGTAGCGCTACATCTACTGCTGGTGCGGTTGCCCTAGAGACGGCTGCTTGGGGAATGTTGGGTGCTGCAGTTGTTGGTGGGATGGCAATTCTGTGAATTTTGCCTTGGGTAGTATTTCTTCCCTGGCTATGGGAGAACAATGAGTTTCCCTTTTCTTTCTTACGCCCTCTCTGTACATTGCAAAGGGGGTGTTATGGTCATGAGTAATGATTCTGTTGTCCTGTGACGCATCCATTGTATAGTATACCTTTTTATATCATGCAGCTATGCACAATCCAAAAAGACCAAGTTTGGCCCAACACGATAGGAGAATAAAAACCGACCGTCGTTCCCTCGTATTCTTTCATATCACCTGATGTTATATTAGGGCAGTGCTTATGTCACGTGCATCGATGTACAATATTTTATCCATCCGCTAACACTTAGGCTTCCATGTTTTCGTGGCCACCATCTCCCATTGAAAGCCATGGACCAATTCCCAAAGCTTCGACCGGTCAGTGAGCGCTCACATGAGGGCCGCGGCATGCCCCCATAGCTGACGCCCAGCAGGTCGGTCGCATGGAGCTATGCTCCACCGCACGCCATCACCTAAGATTCTATTACAATGTAGCGGTAGCAGCAACTTACACACTGCCGGCAACATTTACCCTCCCAATCAAAGACTATGTCTACAAAGCATGTGAAATACTCATTGCGCAGCACCCAATTCTCTCGGCCGTCCCAATCGGCGAGGAGACAAAGGAGCCTTACTTTGTGCGTCTCCCGAACATCGACCTGAGCCAATCGGTCTTTTTCCAGAAGCGTGAGCACGGTTTCCCCGATGCAGAAGACCGGGACGAAGAGCTGGACGCGCTGCTGAGCACCCAGCATAACACCGCTTTTGAACTCCCGTTGCCATTCTGGAGAATTTTCGTGTTGACCGATGATGCCGATGAGACTGAAAGACGGTTCACCGTCGTCTTTTTCTTCCATCATGCTATCTCTGACGGCTCGTCGGGAAAGGTCTTCCACAGGACCTTCCTGCAAGCGTTGCAATCCTTGTCCTCGTTGACAGTCGATGATGTCAAGGAAGTTATTACATCGCCTGTTTCGCCGCTTTTGCCGCCTGGGGAAGCCGTTCACCCTAAGCCAGTATCGTACTCTTACCTGGCTGTTCAACTCTTCAAAGCTAAGATCTATGACCCTCGTGATCCTGGTTTATGGACCGGATCGGAGGTCAAGCTCCCACTGGAGACGAAGCCAAAACACATTGTCTTCCCAAAGCATATATCATCAACATTCAGGGACCGCTGCCGCGAAAACAAGACAACCATAACAGCCGCTCTCCAAACAGTCATCGCTCGCTCCCTCTTCACCCATCTTCCCGAATCCTCCACGAAGGTCAAGTGCTCCGGCGCGATGTCCAATCGTCGCTGGCTTCCTGACCCCATCACAGAAGATTCGATGGGCGTCTGGGTTCAAGAATACACCGAAGACTACTCCCGGAAAGATCTCGATGAGGCCTCATTTCCCTGGTCCGTGACCGTGCGGTCTCGCGCGACAATCGAAAAGGAACTCAGCAAAGAGGGCAAGGACACTACCGCCAATCTCCTTAGGTACGTAAATGATTACCAAAACGAGCTCTACCTGTCAAAGGTCGGGCTGCCGAGGTCATCTACCTACGAGGTGTCGAATGTCGGGGCTTTTACTTCTAGCACGTCAGCAGAAGGGATACCGCGGGTTGGGCGTGTCGTTTTCTCACAGAGTGCGTCTGTTACGGGAAGTGCGTTTGGGGTCTCGGTTGTTTCAGGTGGTGATGGTTGTTTGGTGTTGATGTTTACGTGGCAGAAGGGCGTTGTGGAGGATTTGTTTATCTTGAATGTTATCGAGTCGGTGAGGAAGGAGGTGTACGATCTTTGTGTGTAATAGATTTGTCTATATGTGGTTTCTTCTTGATCTTTCCATCGCTTGTATTTTATGGGTTTAATCTAGTACATAGAACTGGTCACCATATTAACTAGGTAATATTCAATGCAACATCCGTGCTTGCTTTAGAAAACCTAAATTTGTTATGAGATACAACCCAGCCTTTAATGTCGCTATAAGAAGTTAATAAGGAAGCTCATAGCATGTTTTTAAGAAAGTGAAGCGCTCGCAGGTGAGTCCAGTATGCAAGGTTTTTCTGGGAACGACCTAATTCTTTCTGTGGTATATCGGATGTTTCTTTGTTATAGTAAAAGTTGTTCGGTGTTGGTATCTCAAGATTATCATTCCCTCGAATATTCACTAGATCATGGATTGTGACGAGGAGGAAGCCCCAGGAAAATCACGGATCAAGTTCCCTCTGCTTCATGCCGTACGATGATTTACTAGATTACCTCTCAATTCACCATGGTCTGCAATATATAAATACGCGACAGACGGAGTCTAAGGTATAGCCGAGCAAGCCCTATGTAGGACGTCCCAGAATCCAATGAACACCACTTGACCTCATCGGGACAGCTCCTATCTTGAGACCAATGAGCTCCGTTGATATGTGGAATTTGGGTAAATGGTCATGAAGGGCCATCACCCGCCTCTCCAGGCAAAGACATAGGTGTGGCCTGCTCACTGTAAACCCCTGTGATAGTATACCTTCCCGTAGCTCGGGTATATGTATAGTTCAAAGATCCGACTAAAGCTTTTATCTTCCGTTTACCGAACCATATGATAAACTTGGATTTTATATGATTTACTACGGGTACATAGTAACCCCCCTGGTATCATGTAGGACCCTTATATCTCAGAAGGCAAACTCCAGGTTTCTTGAAATGGGGCTGGAACACTGTATTTTACTGAACTGCTTTAAATTACGCCTCCTTAAAGACGGGGCGTGTTTTACATGATATTTTATAGAGCAATTCCCACTTATCGGTTCTGTAACCCTAATCCAAGATGGTGCGGGATCAATAACCAGCTGGACAACATTAGAGTTCTAGTCATTGAGAACAAACGTTCAGTTGTTTTCAACACATTTTAGCCAGATAATGTCTATATATACTAACACTGAGAAGGCCAATATTTCCTCCCCCCATGTCCATTGCACCGCTTAGGGAACGTCTTTGCCATCACTGCTGAATCATTTTTACCCCAAGGCAGCATGTATTGGGTTGCGCAGTGTTTTTTATTTGTACAGCATCACCGTTTACCTCACACCCATTAAAGCTAATACAAAGTTAGGTCTTCTGCACTTTGTGGGGGCATAATCCTCCATCATAATAGGCGGTGAGGAGTTAGATAGGCAGAATCGCGGGGGGATGTTTATCGCGTTATCGTGTTGGTTACCTAGCTTTCCTTCTCCCTATTCTCCGATTTTTCTTCTTTTGCGGGCTTCATTCTTGTCTTCTTTATTTACACTCGCTTATTCTGTCAATATATCATTGCGACTGTTTAAAAACCAGCAAAATGGCGACCCGAGCTCCTTTTGTCGTTCCCGCACTCAAGAAACACACGGCTACCGTGATCATGGCTCATGGCCTGGGCGACAGGTTGGTGTTCATGCCTTTAACGGGGTGTCAGTTAGCTAACAGCTTTCCTTTGGAATAGCGGTGCTGGATGGTATGTATTACTTTCTCCCTCGAAGAAACTGAAGGATGCCAAATACAGGCATTGACCAGGTTCTCCGGATAGGATGGGCCTTGCTCAGAACTGGCGCCGTAGAGGCTTGTTCGAAGAAGTTACTTTTATTTTTCCCAATGCGCCCATGATTCCTATCACAGTGGTATGTAAATTATGTTCTCGGGTGAGAGATAATGGGCTGATATTCGATTCTGCGCGCTGCAGAACTTTGGTATGTCAATGCCTGGATGGTACGACCTTTCCAAGCTCGGCCGTGATGTGAGTTACCCTTGTTCCTGGTGCATTCCTATCAAATTGGTCTCATTTAACACCTTCGCAGCTGGATTTCGAAGAAGCTATCCGCACCCAGGACGAACCAGGCATCCTCCGCTCCCGCGAGTACTTCAACACCCTGATCAAGGAACAAATCGACCAGGGCATCAATCCTTCGCGCATAGTTCTAGGTGGATTCTCTCAAGGAGGCGCGATGTCTGTGTTTACGGGTGTTACCAATAAGGAAAAGCTGGGAGGTGTATTCGGACTTTCATGCTATTTGCTTCTGAGCGATCGCATCAAGAACCAGATTCCCGAGGACTGGCCCAACAAGAAGACACCGTTCTTCCTTGCTCATGGGACCGATGATGAGATAGTGAAGCATGAGTTTGGAAAGACCTCGTCAAAGCTGCTTCAAGACCTCGGACTGGAGAATGTTCAGTTCAACTCCTACCCGTGAGTATGCCCATTTCTACACGGGATGACTATGTTATTGATTCGGTATTAGTGATCTTGGCCATTCTGCCGATCCCCAGGAAATCGAAGATCTGGAGAAATTCCTTCAGCAGGTCATCCCTGCGGAAGGTGACGGTCAGGCTTCCGCCGGGCTATGACTTGATGGTTCCCCCCGGTTCTTGATCTTGGAGAAGATGACATCTAGCATGGTCTTGGGTATGGTATGCTTATTGGTTGCGGTTTTGTTCTCGAGATACCATTCCAGAGATAGAAGCGATGATTCAAAGAGATAGCATTGAGCATCAGAATTCTGCTTTATACATGTGTTCCTATTCATCTATTGTTCAATAAACCCAGACGCACGCCGTACATGATTCCCTGTTCGTATCGTTTTCACATCTCGAGTAAAGCAAAGCGAGTTTCTTGAGTCCTAACCTGTCTTCGCGCGCTTAATGGTTTTTTCGATAGCAGCAACCATGGCCTCTGTATTCTTGGCATCGAAGGGAATCAAATGCCTCGATCCGTGGTCGTAAAACTCCGCCTTCGATGGTTCGCACAGACCATACAATTGCATACTGAGGTCGTAAATCCCATCCTGCTTACCTACAATATGAGTCGTAGGAATATTGATCAGATACTCCCCTGGCGTCGGCTGGATAGTCTCCATTCCAGATGTCTCGTACGGCGCCGCACCGCAGATGAAGACAGCGGCTTTGAACAGTGGCACGTCATGTGTTTTGGCATGGTTAATAAGAAGCGAACCTGCAAGAGCGGCGCCTTGTGAGAACCCCATTACAGCGTCGAATGGGCCTTTCTTCTTAATGATATCCATGGTGTACTCGATCGCACGCGCGAGGTCTTCACCGGGTGCGATATCGCGGGGATAGTGTTTGTAGAACGGGGGGTCCAAGATGCCCTTCAGGTCTAGACCCAGTTATGGTGATGATATGGAGAAAGAGGAAGAACTCGTACCTGGCTCAGGTTCAGAGTCTAATCGGCCATCGACATATACGAAGCGATGCCCTTTGGCTTCCAGAGCCTGACTTATGCCCCCTGTTTGTGGTTAGAACGAACGATTTGTGGAACGAAATGTCATGGTCATCTGCGGTTTCCTCTCCAGGGTCCCCAGATGTTGCTTTAATTACCGGATTGGATCTCAAAAATCTACTTGTCGATTAGTATTCTTCCTGTGGCCGAGAGATGAAAAGCAGTCATTGTCCCACATACTTCCCCGCTTGTGCCGGAGCCATGTAAACAAAGAAATCGCATCTTGAGAATGTGAAGGTATGTAGTGATAGCACTTGAGCAATGCCAGGAACGATCTGCAGTTGAATCTGAGGTGTAGAATAAATCGGACTCAAACTATGGAGTGTTGAATGGCTAAATATATTTGTGTTGTGGTGACTCTTACTTCGTCTTGCGAGGTTGCATGCTGACAGTGCATATTTACCCGAGTAAAACCAGAATACGGGAGTTAAATTACTTAGTCGCTTACCTTGCATCTCACTAGCTTCCCTCGCTGACCACTACAACAATTTACGTGAGAAAAGTGGATTCTCCAAACATGGAGTATATTCATCCTTTTCGGTACTCTCTCTATGAAGATATGTCTTGAATCAGTCGAGAACCCCTGATGGATGAATTGCATATCCCTTGCGTCGTCTATGAAGTGGAAAAGTTAATTTAGATCGAGAGTTAATCTACTCCGTAGGAACCTCGGTCGCTGAACGCGGAGGCACCATGGCAGTCAACGTCCGTGTTTCACGACATCCCTACATTCCAGCACAAAAAAGACCCGGCTAGTATTATATATCTAGAAGGCGTCAGCTAACTGCACAGCTCCTCTTTGACTAAGATACAGTACATTACGTTCGACATGTCTCTCTATCAAAATCTCGCTCTCAATGGCTCTTTTGCCTGGCAAGGCTTGCGCCATCCATTGGATATGTACTCAAGTCTTGGTCCTACGTTGAGCGAAGCTACCTTTGGCTTGTTGGGATTCTCCTTTGAGCCGAGAAGAGATATTGGCGACCTCTCCGGGAAGGTCATTTTTGTCACAGGAGGTAAATCCTGACTGAGTTTCGAGTTCGTACAGACCCTCTTTCCAGCCATAACATACTAACATGTGACGAATTATTTTTCAGGGAATGCTGGTCTTGGAAAAGAGACCGTTCTTCAGCTTGCGCAACATAACCCGTCCCGCATATACCTCGCCGCTCGAGATGCCACTAAAGCTCGCGAGGCCATCAGCTTGATTCATGACACTATTTCCGCCTCCGTCGACATCAGACATATTGATCTTGATTTGTCTTCTTTCCAGTCTATACGCGATGCTGCAGAGAAGTTTTGCTCGGAGTGTGACCGCTTGGATATCCTGATCCTCAACGCCGGCACCATGGCGAATCCGCCAGAGCTTACAAAGGAAGGGTTCGAAATTCAATTCGGAACAAATCATATTGGCCATTTCCTGCTTACCAAACTGCTCCTCCCCACGCTAAAAAAAACCGCCGGAAGCCCCTCATCAGATGTAAGAATAGTGACGTTGAGTTCCGTGGGGAGCCATGCTGCTCCGTCCTTTGATGTCATGACCTCAACGTCTGCTCTCCTGGCCGTCCACACGCTAGTCCGTTATAGCGCGTCCAAAGCTGCCAACATCCTTTTCGCGTCGGAGCTTGCTCGCCGATACCCAGAGATTCTCTCGGTTTCTGTTCATCCGGGTGCAGTGTCCAGCGAACTATATCGCCATACCAGCGCGATGAATGCCGTCTCAAGATTTGGGCTTAATATACTTTCTACTGTGTTTCGTAGTATACGCACAGGAGCAATGAATCAGCTCTGGGCGGCCGGGACGGAGAGAGAGCAACTGGTCAACGGGGCTTACTATGTCCCAATCGGGGTGCGCGGCTCGAGCAGATTCGCCGATGATGCAGACATGGCACGAAAGCTCTGGGAATGGACGGAGAATCAGATCGCCGAGAAATCGTGATCCTCTGGTCTGTTCTGCCTCGTGTTGTCTGGCCATCTGGTACACATAATCTGGTTGATATATATGCCTAATCTTAATCGCTATCTATTTTGGACTATTGTACTCGATACAGTTGTTTTTGGCTAGATGTTTGGCTAATCAGTGTCATTCTATTATACTTTTTTTTGTCTTTCTTTTCTTTTCTCTCTTTTTACAAAACAATCCGCCTTTCAAACGCTCAGGTTACGAATTACTGTGACCGGAATTAGTAAAGTATGGAAAGCGATTGGCCGGCGGATCACCTGGCAAGACAGCTAAAGCGGTACGAGATGAGTGCATCCAAACGGACAGGAGAGCTCTGTTGCGAAAACCACAAAGAATGGCAGAGAGCTGGTCTTGCCCGAGTTCGTCGTCTTCAGCCATGCATAACCGGATTGACATGCATGATGACGGATCCATGATCGTTAGGGTTTAGCCGAGCAGCTGCCAAACCTCGAGAGCCCATTCGAGCCCACAATCAATATCCGGACCACCAGCCGACCGACTGGAGAGGAGAATTCAGGTAGAAGAGGGAGGCACGTATGAAGGTGAAACAAACCAGCGTAAGAGACGAAAATGACCGACCGTGTAGAGGAAATAGCCCGGGCAGGACTCAGTCGTCGTGAGTAGAAAATGTAGAGGAAGCGCCACAAGTCAGCATGAACCCCCCACACAAACCAACTTTCACCTCATCATCAGCCACAGTGTGTTCTCAACTCAACCACTTGAGACTCTCACCATTCAACTGACCAACGATTTTTATCTTCTTGGTACGTGGACTCTTTTCCCCCCCTTCTTACTCTCTGTAACCTTCTATTCGTCCTTTGTCTCCCCTAACCGGTGTGTATTGTTGTCCCTCTCCCCTCATCTGTTGGACATGGAGCATCAGCCACCGCTTTCTTGGCAGCCACACATTCTGCCACAAAGCCTTACCGAGTCCGAGTTTCCACAGATCCAGATTATTGACGTCCATTCATCCCACTAGGTTCAAGGAACATCTTCTCAACACACAATCATCATCATGGATCAGGCAAAGTTGGCTCGCATGCAGGCTAGCGTGCGGATTGGTACGTGTCCATTCCATATTTTTCTCCCCTCCATTTCCCCCCAATCCTTTCTGGAAATAAGTGGTCCTGGGATTTAGTGGCATTGGCAGCGAGAGGAACTGGTCGCTTAAGCCGGAGGAAATGCGATACCCGTCGCGGACGAGTCTGCAAACCGCCAAAGCTCCAAAGACCAGACGCCAGTCGCGACATGAAATCCCGGGCAGCTTCAGAAATGGGAATTCCTTTGAATGACTTGGATAATGTGACGTGATCCGTTAGCTAACCTATATCTTCATGTTGAACAGGGTACGTATAAATTCTCTTTCTTTTCGCACAGTTTCTCTCGGGTACCGCCATTCGACCACGAAAATGGGAAATTAACCCACCACACTCCCCCAATACCCTATCTCGCCCTTCTCTGATCTACTCTCAATTCTTACAATCCCGACCATGAATCCACCCGACTGACGAACTACCCTAAAAAAAACAGAGGCAAGGGCACTCCCCGCCGCAAGGTCAAGAAGGTCCACAAGTCCTCCGGCGCCGACGACAAGAAGCTCCAGGCTACCCTGAAGAAGATGAACGTCCAGCCCATCCAGGCCATCGAGGAGGTCAACATGTTCAAGGAAGACGGAAACGTCATCCACTTCGGTGCTCCCAAGGGTATATATAACCACCCATCCATCCACCCACACAACCGGCGCTTATAAATCCACCCGGCACACCCGCCGGCTGGAAAACGTCGCAACCTCACAAGAAATCCCCCCCCCAAAAGTACAACTTGCTTACTGATTCTACTCTCTATAAAGTCCACGCCTCCGTCCCCTCCAACACCTTCGCTCTCTACGGTAACGGCGAAGAGAAGGAACTCACCGAGCTCGTCCCCGGTATCCTGAACCAGCTTGGCCCCGACAGCCTCGCCTCCCTCCGCAAGCTCGCCGAGAGCTACCAGAACATGCAGAAGAACCAGGCCGGCGCCGAGGGCAAGAAGGATGATGATGAGGATGATATCCCCGATCTGGTTGAGGGCGAGAACTTCGAGAGCAATGTCGAGTAAATTCGTTAACCATATCATATCATATCATGCGTTTTAATTGATTGATATAAAAATGTGAACAAAGACATGAAAAAAGGGCTGTCATAATCTCTTTTCTTTTTCTTTCCTTTGCTAACTCTTAACACTTTAATTTTTTCTTAATCGGTGTCTTGTTGTTCTTGGGGACTTTATTATCCTGGTTCCCTTTGTTTCTTTGGAACTGGATTCTAAGGTGGGGTCTGATGGGTCATTGTGTTGTTGGGATTGATGATTGTGAGTGGCACAATGGGTGAAGAGGATGGGAGGGGTCTTGTTGACAGGGTTCAATGAGATTGTGCTAGAAGTTCTGCTGTTAAGGATACAGTAACCGTAGGATTCTAGTACTTTTCTTACAGATGATAGGTAAGAAGCATGTCGCAAAGCGAACACCGACATTTATATATACAAGTATTGTAATCCTACGAACAGCTGAGACAGGTGCAATGCGACTAGTTTATTAATTCCTTTCGCCTTCCATGCATAATTAAATAAAGATCCCGACCAGTAAATGCCATAAATCATAGAGTATACGAACGAAAACTGCCAACTCGGCTAACGTCAACTCGCGCCAACAGTTGTCGGCGGGGGGGTGCTATCGTACATGCAAGGGTATTGGTATTGCTAAGCCAGTCATAGTACTGTTTAGTGGAGACGTTTGCTCACGAGCGGGAATGCCTCCGGACCCGAAGCTGGGCTTGCATTGACTGACGCTTGCAGAGCTTCGCATCGCCGGTGCTAAGTTCAGGTGTAGTTGGTAAGAAGTGGTGGAGGAATGGGAGCAAGCATTGTGAGAGATCATGATTCCTCCCGCAATCCGCAAATATCTGTGCCGAGAACCATATCGATCATATACCAGAAACGCCAGTAGGTGTTCGACTTATCATAGTCGAATGTCCCATCATCCTTGAGCTGCGGCCCGTCTCCCACGATGTCACCGGTGAACCAACTGAGGATCGGAATGGATCGCAACACGCGCTCGGTGACGGTCGGTTGGGGCGGGAGAGCCTCAGCGATTGGGCGTAATTTCGCCCGACGCACCGTCGGAATATGTGTCATGAACTCAGACTCTGGTTTCGGCTCTTGGGGCACATTCCGTTGTTGAAGGGAAGCTGTAGATGGTTGATCCACACCGGTGGCAGTCATCGAGCTTGCAGTCGGCGTCGATTCAAATGATTGGGTTTCTTCTACATCCGGGACACTAGAAAGGTTATTCACAGTGAATGACCGCGGTAACGTCGAGCGTTCATTCGTCTGGAGGAACGTGGTCGAGCGCGAAGTGGTCAAAGTGCGCGATGCTTTCGATTTTTGCTGTTCGGCGGCCGATGAATCTGCAAGGATTGGTACATCCTCCGCGGGTCCTTGGCCATGATACAGTTCACAGAAAACAAGGTGTCCATCGATCTCCTGGGGAGAGTAGAAGCAAGCGCGGTCCGCCGCGATCGTCGAATCGAACGTAACCTTGATCCAGTGGAAGCCACCCGCATAACGTTTCGATTTGCGGTTCGCATCCGCAGACAAATTCGAATGGATCACCACATCGCCGCCGCTCAGAAGCTGCGAATACCCACTCATGGAGTTAGGATCGCAGCGCGGGTAATCTTCACAGATCACGCCTCTGGACACCCGCTCATACTTATCGATCACCTTCCACTCAAAGTCTTTACTCTTGTAGCCGTACAGTATGCATTCTGTGGCGACCTTTTCCGTCTGCTGTCGTGCGTTGTCGAGATTTGAGGTAGATGTCGACTTCGGTAAGGTATTGCTGCGAGTCTTCTCCTCTTCTTGCTGCATAGCGAAAAGCCGTCCGAATTCCGCAACGTTTGGATTTTCCTTCTTTGCAGGTGTTCCCGTACGGGTACGCGATCGAGCATGATCGTAGCGAGCGTTTCTCCTCTTTCCAAAAGGGCCACTCTCTTCGGGTGGTCGTCGAGGGTTCCGGGATTCACTGCACGATTAAGTTAGACATGTTAGTCAACAACATCAATGAGCAGCAGATATAAGGGGCAAAAAGTAATCGTATGCTCACTCTTTGTAGACATAGCCCCAGGGCAGAAGATTGCCCTTGTCATCTTTTGCGCGCTCCTCCGGAGGAACAAAATGATACTCCATATTATGAATGTATTGTGGTTCTTATTGATTTAAATAAGGATTGAAAGGAGGCAATGCAGCCGGGGTGATGAAAGCTGTATCTAATGAGCTAGGATGTAAAATGAAGCTTGCTGTCAAAACCTCGATGAGGAAGCAGTCGATCTTCCCAAAAGTTTTGGGGCTGCGGTAAACACTTCTGTTAGCCCGGGGACGGTCACGTGGGCCCCATCTATCATTCCAGAGGCCATACATCCTGATACTCTAGAACAGCCATCTATAATGCTTATCTAGAGGTATTTATTTATTTTAAACATCTATATTATATTTTCTATACCGTGACCTGGTACATAGGCGGTGTAATGTCAATTTAACGTTATGTTCGCTTTTCCTGTGACTGAAAAGGAACGGCTTCGAGGTCTTGACACCCAAGCACTATTTTTTTTTTTTTTTTTTTATTAAAAAAAAACCCCCCGATTTCTCTCTTGGTACGGTATCTCAGCATATGATGCTCTAGCCCTGTCGTAAAAATTTTATATATCCAGCATCGTTTCCTAGTCCGCACACTTCTCCAAAATCTCCCACATCCGATCTTCGTCCTTCTACATGCTTAACAAACTCCTTCAACGGACACGACAGCCCAGGCCCAGATTTGCAGTACGGCAGTGGCACAATTTTGTCATTTATGTTAACCCGAAGAATGGCCTCTTGACCACTGGAGTTCTTCGCCGATGAGGTTTGACAAGTCAACCGCTCAAGAACGATTCTTCCGCCCATTGGCAGCACGGACGAGGTACGCCAGACGCGGTCTGCCACTCTATGTGTGGTCGGTAAGAACGGATCATACTTTGGGTCTCTCATGATATCCAGTGCTGTGAGGAAGGGGGCGATATCCCCATCATGAACACTAAACCAGGGAGTCAGTATGTTTCGCAATCAACTGATCTTTGGGAGCCACGATGTCACCCACAAACTGAAGAACATAGTACCAGCGTCCGGCCCAGATCGTAAAAGAGCAGTCGTAGCATTGAGCCAGAGCCAGCCCATCGCCCCAGCGTACGGGTTGCCTGGTCCAGCACGGTAATAGTGAATTAAATCACGGGCGTATTCGAAATTCTCCCAATCGTCATGAGTAAATACATCGCACCAAGGACTTGACCCGCGAGAGATCGTCTCGAATCCGCACATCTCCTGCATACTGTAGACCTCCAGATTGGTTAAGAATCCGAGTGCCAGATTTTGCTCGTCATTTATTAGTCGCTCGGCAATGGCCGGAATGTACACGTCCTGGAAAAGAGCCAGCATATTGACACCGTTGTCGTGTCCTTTCACAGGATCTTCGATGTATTTTGGGCATGTATCGCCCGGCGTCAGAGTGTCGGCGCCTCGCTCGAGTGTTTCGGGAATGATCTCCAACGTAGCCTTTTCAGTCTTTTCCCAATCCAGGCCGAAAAATCCAGACGCGAAATGTTGCGCTGTTTCAATCACGCGGTCACTCTCACTTGCCCACAGCCTTGTCGTCCCCTGGCGTGGCAACAAATGTCCGTATCGCGTTAAGAAGCGAACGCCTGTTGAGAAAGCCTGAAGTGTGCCAGCATACGGACTAGTTCTGGTCAGCTGGTCAAAGTCTTTTTGTGGCTCATCGGTAAAATATGTCCAGTCGTTCAAGAACGATAGCGAACCATTAAGAACCACGTTTGCTTCTTTGATTCGATTCAGAAGTGCAAGGTGACCTTGGGATAGATGTTAGGAATAGTAGGCTCTATTGAAATACCAGTGATGATGGTAGAGCGGGACATACGACTCCCAGCAGATTTGGTCGGATATCTTTCCCCGTGGCGAGACATCTGGTAGGTATTAATATTTACTTCCGAACCGACTCAAGTGATAGTTCAAATTCGGATTGAAGACGTCCATCTAGAGGACTATGCGGTATGGAAGACAACCGTACCAAATGCACCTGGTCAATAACGCACTCCTTTGGGGGTTTAAAGCCCGGTGTTTCAAGCCCGTCAGTCTTCTCTATCCATGGCCCGTTGCCACCTAGGTGGTAGACTATGTTCCAATCATTGTCTTGATATCCGGTCTGGCCTGTTCGGAGTGGATTGTACCACGCGTTCCAGCTTGCGCAATGAGGTGACCCAATGTCCGGAGCAGAGGGGTTGCGGTTATAGAAGAAAATACTGACAATCGCAGTCAAGAGGGAAATAATCAATGCCCATGGTGATGTTACAACCAGCATCTTTCATATAGTAGTCTTTTTATCGTGGGGTAGACATGCGGTAGATCACTGAGCGATAGAAGCTGGAGACAGTGTTGTAAGTGGTATGCAAGGATCAGCGAAGTTGCCGAGACAATAAATTTAAATTCATTCATTGCAACGCTCTGTAAGCAGTGAAACAATCGAGTGACTCCCTGTCCACTAAGAGCACTTTAAGTCCACGATGACTTTCTACTTTTTCCCTCTACTACTAATTATCAATTTAAAATATTACGGCGCACGATCGCGGATAACAGCGTCTTCTATGTTGTCGTTTCAAGACATTTCTATCGATAACTTGAATATATACAGACCAGATGAGTTTTTCCTTCGCTGAAAAACACATCTGATCACTGTCTATCTATTTCCACAGTAGTGGCTCTATGTACTGTACACTCACGTACTATAAATAAATCGAGGACTTTTATCTCCCAGTTCTTCAATCTCTTCCTCGGTCATCCCCGCAACCTTCTCGTCCTCCAGGCCTTGGACTCTGCGAATGTTCTTCTGGCGGTAGTAGAACCACATGAGTCCATACACTATTCCTGCAAATCCCACAAGGCCTAATGTCACGGCATTTCCCCGGACATACCGAGGCGCTTCGTTATTTTTGTACAAGAACGGTGACATAACACCGCTAATGTTGCCAAACGTGAGTTGCAACCCTGTAGCAAAGGTACGCTTGCCATAGCGAGGAAGCGTAGTGGGAAGCCATGCGAGTGGCAACCCGACCGCCACATACAGCCCCAGGGCGATAAGCAATGCGCCGAAGTAATGCACCCCGGAGGATGTATCAGAAATCAGGATTCCGTAGCCGACGACGGAAATTGCGCAGAAAATACAAATGAACAGACCGCGGCGCTGAGTTCGGTCGCTGACCCAAGCGGTCACCAGATAGGCCAACGCCCCAAGTGCATAGCATGGAATTGTTAGTGCCTGTACTTCGGGCGTCGACCATGAACCCATGCCCTTGATGATAGTGGGAAGGAAAGTACTATAGCCATAAAGCATGGTATCGATGCCGAATTGAGCGATGGAAAACGCCCAGATCCTCCAATCAAGTGCGCCCTCTTTGACATCTGCCCAGTGGAACTTCTGCGCAGATGCCGTTTGACCCACGTAGCGCATCCGTCGGCGGACCACGAGGGCCTTCTCTTCTTCGTTCAAGTAATAAGCTGTGTCAGGATCATCGGCTAGAACGAACCACGCCACCACTCCTAGGAGTACGGTTGGGATACCTTCCAGTATCAGAATCCACCGCCAGCCTCGAAGTCCGCTGATCCCATCCATGAACCCAATTGCATATGCTAGAAGTCCGCCGAATGCACCGGCTGCTGCTGCACTGCTAAAAAGATACCCGGTCCGGAGAGCGAGCTCACGCTTGCTATAAAACAGGGTGAGATATGTTATAAGCCCGGGAAATAGCCCGGCTTCCACAACACCTATGTTCATCAATATTTGATATGGCTGCGGAATCAAGACTGTTACTAACCTAGGAGGAGACGGCACGCGATCAGCCCTCCATAATTCTGGGTGATTCCTGTTAGGGTCGCTATGATACCCCAAATCACCGAAATCGATGCAATGTAGCGTGACGGCCGAAGTTTCTTGAGGACCAGGTTCGATGGTACTTCAAATAACTATATGGAACAGTCAGAAATCTTGCCGTACCCACAGATGCCAGAGATCAACCATACACAGTAGGTTACAAATAAGATAGACACAGCGACCTGGTACTGGTTCCCAACTAGGCCTAAGTCTTCTTCCAGACCATACAGTCGAGCATTGCCAATGTTCACTGCGATATATATGTATCAGCAGGCCAGCATTCGAAACGGAATGAAGCAGTGGCTTGAAGCAATATCCTCATGGACATAGGAAGGGGAGCCAACCTCTATCCAAAAAACTAAATAAATAGAGAAGCACAACCATCGGCAAAATATGTATATCGATTTTCCAGAGCAGATGCTTTTCGCTCTCCCCTTCAAGAAAAGAGGACCCGGTGTCGTTTTCCTGGGGTGCTATCATGTTGCTGCCCTGTCGGGGTGATTCAACGTCCGGTTTCGGCTCACTTCGGTACTCCATGGCTGTCGCTCAAAATCTGAACCGATGTACTTGACTTTGGTCTCTGTTTCCTCTAGAATTGGAACAATTTTCAACAAAATGTCTCGCAGAAAGAGAGGAAGGCCCCTGATCAGTCCCCAGCGTTTGAACACACAATCACACCGAGCGACCTTGCATCATGCAAAAGATCGAAACACTGACGCAAAAGTATCCGACAGAAGGGAACCCCGCGCTTCGTGTTCGCGCCAGAGTGTAACGATAATTTTATGAGCAGAATGCCAAGATCACCGATCTGCAGTTGATCTCAAGATCCCTGAAGATTAAGTGAGACAACAGACTAGGGTATCATTCAGGAACAGAAGATCGTAGAAGAAAGCAATGGAGGAGTCATTTCATCTCATTGATCATGGCAAATTAGCTCATGTTTAGACTAGTGGACCATGTTTTTTTCTCACCCCACTATTGGCTCCGGTGGGATGATGGTTAAAGTTTTACACTCCGGCTTTTGAAATTTTCCTCCTTCAATACAAAACATTGCATGTCGCTACTCCAGTCACAGGTTCAGGCTAATAGTTCCTGGTATTTGTCTTTCCTATTGTCATTTTTACTAGTACTTTAACATCTTGGTTCAAGTGAGAACACATCGTGGTATGAGCCAGAACACGGTCAAGGTTGCAACTGAAGAATACTGGAAAAGACCCTGAAAGATAAGCAGTGTGATTTGCCGTTGTCCCGCGGAGCAAATGCCGCTTTGCAATTCAATGCATCCAGGAATCATCGCAAATCCAGTTCTGTGGTATACTTCCCACTCATGTTAAGCAAGGGGTTCTACCCCGTGATAGTACTTACGTGTAATGATAACCAGACAGCTCAACTCAATTGTTTAGAATCCTTCAAGGTTCTCATCTACCAACTCAATTAGTATAACCTTACCTATGCTGTGTAGAGTTGGCTCACCGCGTGAAGTTGTATAGATGTGGTCAAGTGGAAACCTTCAACACGCTTACCGGTTTACCATTTATTTTCCCTCTCTCTCTCTCTCTCTCTCTCTCTTTCCTTCCTTCCTTCCTTCCTTCTTTCTTTTTATCTTTGTTTCCAACAAGCCCTTCGAAAAATATGAGAATAAACAGCTAATAGAATGCGATGCCTGGTAACGTCATTGCCGAGTATATCCCAGTTTCCGAGGTAAACAGAGCTCACGTGGTTTACCCCCCCCCCCTCTTTGACCCTGTTAGCTGCTGCTATTACCGAATATAATAACATCGGGATAATCACGATCAAATTACTTGGCCATTCACGAGCATAATTCCCACTAGCATTCGAAACCATCCAATATGCCCGAAAGGTATGGAGATTACCAGTCCGTTATCTATGGCCGTGGGGCTATAGAAAGCGTTCAGCCGAATGTCACGACAGACCCTCGGCTTCTCGAGGAACAGGCCCGCAAGGCTCTGGGTGCCCGATCCTTTAATTATGTCGCTGGAGGGGCCGGTGAAAAGGCTACCATGGACAGCAATCGGCTGGCGTTTCGCCAATGGAAACTGTAAGCTAGCGATCGGGCGTACAGTTCGCGGTAGCTGACATAATGTGTATAGTATTCCGAGAATGTTGAGACCGGTTTGTTGTGGTCAGAATCTCTTTTTACGTTCAGGGACTGATCGCCTTGTATAGGTGGATAACCAGGACCTATCAATAGAGCTCTTTGGCCACAAGTATCCGAACCCAGTCTTGATGGCACCTGTCGGTGTTCAGAGTTTGTTCCATGAAGATAAAGAGACGGGTCTAGCCGAATCATGTGCAGACGTCGGAGTGCCGTATACTCTCAGCACGGCCAGTACTAGCTCCATTGAAGAGGTGGCCGAGGCCAATGGGGACGGAAACCGATGGTTTCAACTCTACTGGCCGCAAGATGATGACGTCACGCTCTCCCTTCTGAAGCGCGCCAAAGACAATGGCTTTTCTGTTCTCGTAGTCACTTTGGATACTTGGTCCCTTGCCTGGCGACCGGCCGATCTGGACAATGCTTTTGTCCCATTCATCAAAGGTGTTGGCAACCAAATCGGCTTCTCTGACCCGGTGTTTCGTGCAAAGTTCGAGAAGGAATCCGGCTCTAAACTAGAAGAAGATATTGTCGGAGCATCTCGGGCGTGGACCTCTGACGTGTTCCCTGGCCGGCCTCATACGTGGGAGCATATCTCTTTCCTACGGAAGAATTGGGATGGGCCAATCGTTCTGAAAGGTATTCAGCATGTAGAGGATGCAAAGCTTGCTCTCAAAGCTGGATGTGACGGTATCGTTGTTTCTAACCATGGAGGTACGTGGATCACACCCGGATAATGTCGCTCTTCTTGATTATTGACGCTCTACAGGCCGACAGGTGGATGGTGCCATTGGTTCATTGGATATGCTTCCTGAGATAGTGGAAGCCGTTGGTGACAAGATGACGGTCCTATTCGATTCCGGGATCAGGACTGGTGCAGACGTCGTGAAAGCTCTATGTTTAGGAGCCAAGGCAGTGTTTGTAGGCAGACCTGTAATATACGGACTGGCAATCAATGGAAAAGAGGGAGCCAAATCTGTGATGAGAGGACTGCTGGCAGATCTGTGGCAGACCATGAGTTTGTCCGGTATCTGCACCGTCGCCGAATGTACTCGAGATAGAGTCAGGAAAGTCCAGCACCCAGGAGATGTGAAGGCTATGATGTGATCAGACAACACAATTATTATTGGGCTGTATAGTGACTTGTCATAAGATCATGTTCTTCCTCGGCCACGAGATTGGCGAGCGTATTCTAAAATAGCAGAATGCAAGGCCAGTAGACAAATCGGAAAACAGAAAATGATCGCAAATAAAGTTCTCCTTCAGTAGTCTTATGTATTTAGCCAATGCTAATCATGAGATGTGATTCCATGGCTCTGCTAGCCGAGAACCCGTTCCAACGGAGTCGAGCTGGATAGTTTGTTGGGGCAAGCTGAAAATCACATGTCAAATATCCGTCAACATATTTCCCCCTGATTAATGCACGGAAAGGCGGAGGATGACTTGTACCTTGCCGCTTGGTGCTGATCGACAAGGCTACACCTCATTGCCCTCCCCCCCAGGAACTTGGTAACTGACGCAACATCTGACGGTCTGACTTGGCAAAGAATACTACTTACATTATCTATCGTCTTATCTCCGTTGCCACGAAAGTAGTTCTTCCTGTTTGTGGATGCGTTCGCTCATGGATTCTAAACACCCTTTTAATGCAATAAGAAAGAAAGCTCAAGTGATCAGTTTAATGAACCGCGATGCCTAATCTATTCGGCCTTGTGCCAATCTTGAGGCGAGATGAACCCCAACCTGATCTGGAATTGGCTCAGGGTAGTAGCACAAGTCATATACCCGCAACGTCGGGTGCGACTCTACTCCCACGTCCAATGGCTTCAATTGTTTCCTTTGTTACTCAGTCCACTTCGCTCTCCCTCAGAGTTGGGACTTTCTTCGGAGGAGTGGCCATCGATGGGGCAAGAGCTACCACGCTGACGGGGTTGGAGCTCAGTAGAGCAGTCATTGAAGGCGTCCTGACAAGAGCTGGACGGGATGTGGCCACGAGGAGCAGCGGAGAACATGGCAAAGTAGAAGCAGAATCTATACTGGAGCGAAGCGTAAGTCCAGGTCTAGTCCCTACTCTAAATTTGTTTACATTAGCTAAGTAATATTAAGCTTGCCGCTCTGCACAAGTCAGTCACGTCTGCATCGTTCTTCGTCGCTGCAACGTTCCATTTCTCTTCTACAACTCTTTCATCTGCTTCGAATATGTCCCAGGCGCTTTTGTCTACTCTCGATGCAATACTTGGTTCCACTGAGTCTTCAAGGGCGATAGCTGCTATCATAACACTTATCCGAAGAGAATTTCGGAACCCAAGCGTTGAGTCTATGACTGATGATAACATTGGTGTTGGCGACCTCTTGGTAGGCACAGTTGGCTTCGCCATGCTTCAACGCTGGGGAAGGAAGAATACAGAACGACAAATAAGTACGAATGGTGGGGACGAGGCCATCTGGGATGTTGTCATCTTGGATAATGGCGTCAGAGCAGATGTTGTTGGGATGCACCAGATAGAACTTACGAGGAGGCCTCGTAGCGACTTTCACGATGAGACGAGGCGTTCATCTTTCATCTCTCCCGGCAATGACGAGGAAGCCTTCGATGCTGTGCAGCGTCCGGCGAGTAGGGGTGATATGACCGAGAAACATTCCCTTTCGCTTCCTCCAGGAGACCATCAAATGTCCGACGATGAAATCCGGTTGTATATTATGAAGCAGCTTCCTCAAGGCTGTCGTGCCTCGATAAAGACTGATCTAGTCACTGCACGTACTATAACAGTTGACATCTACGATGACGACAGCGCAGAGATTGCTGCTCCACCCGGTACGATGGTAATTGAGGAAAGGTTCCGTAACGATCAGTGCTTTGGCAGTAGTGCGGGATCGAGTCCTCCCCAACTTCCCAAGCACACTGTTGTTTTTCGAACGGCTTTCAATAAATCTCAAAGTGCAGACGTGAGGCTATCACGTGGAGACGATATCTCGGGTATATACGAGATCAATTCTGACCATGGCAAACAGAGTCCTTCCTTAAGTCAAGGCATTACGATTACTGGCTCACCCCATGACGCCGAGTCAACTGTCGCAAATCACCATCATGCTATGCTCCAAGACAAACCAATACAAACTATCCAAACTGCAATTGAAGGTGGCAGCCATCGAAACCCTCGTTTGCCAGGAACCAATGGACTGGATAAATCTTCATACGAGCCAACGCTGCCCGCTGATTCAAGCAGCTCTAAAAGATACCGTGTAGAATCTGCTAGAACCGCTTCAAACGAAGCTGACACCACTTCAAAAGGCTCGTTTGGGAAAGGCTCCCTGACGAGGATTGCACAGAAAGTGAAGCCGGCGTATGTTGAGAGAAGTGACCAGAGTAAGCGACTATCGGGGAAGGAAAAGTCTAGCACACCACCTGTCCATTCCGCCCAACGCAGCAAGGGTTCGAAAAGCTCTGTCCCTGAAAGAAAATCATCAGCTTCCAGACAATCTCCCAAACCTGCCGCAGAAGCAAAACAGGAAAAGCCGCCACTCCCTTCCAAGGCTCGACTTTCGCCTATAGCGAACCGAGGCTCACCAAGATCACCTTTACAAAGCGCTCGACTGCCTGTCCCTTCAACAGTGCGAAGTGGTAGCGCACGGGAAGCGGTCCCCGAAAGGAATCCGATGCCTGAGTTTTACGCAATACACGAGAAGAATGAAGAATCTTTCATGAAGCAAACGGATGCTTATTCTACAAACGTGCGCCCGAAATCTTCTGCAGGTGTGAGAACACATGTGCGTAGCAGCAGTTCTATGTCAGTCACACGATCTGAGGCGGAAATGTCTGTGTCTGTCAATGATGGGCGTCCGAGCTCCTCGAATTTACACAAAAGTTCTCATACGTTTACTCCCAGCATATACTCTTTAGCGACGGCTGGCTCGGAGACGTCACTCATACTTGCACATCGGTCCCGCAAGAGTGCTTACGATGATATGGAAACTATGCAAGCATTAAGTCGCGATGGACTTGTACCAGGAATATTTCCTGAAAAGCATTTTGTGCAGAATATCAGGCGTTTCCTCCGGTTTTCCTCAGCATCTTATGGATCAAATGCTCTCAAAGTCATGGGTGTTCCACCAACGACCAAGGCTCTTGCATATCAAGAATCTGACAGTCGAGAGCATAGCGACTTCTCAGATCACACTGGCCTGCCGGCTTCGACAATACTTCTCTCGTCCTTTGTTGATCCCGCGGGTGGGTCAAACGCTGCTGGGGAGACAGAGACTGGCTTTCCTCTAGTCCATTACCTGTTCCTAGACCATGAATCGAAGGCCGTTGTCCTAACGCTTAGGGGAACATGGGGCTTCGAAGATATCCTCACAGATATGACCTGTGATTATGATGACCTGCTATGGCAAGGAAAGAGCTGGAAAGTTCACAAGGGTATGCATGCTTCTGCGCAACGACTGTTGATGGGGGGAGGTGGAAAAGTTATGATTACACTTCGAGCTGCTTTGGAGGAATTTCCAGATTACGGCGTGGTACTATGCGGTCACTCGCTAGGCGGAGGCGTTGCTGCATTATTAGCTACGATGATATCGGAACCTACGAATGATGGCTTCGGGACATCGTTTGTGACTACTTCATATCAAGCCACTGCGCAACGTTTACTCCTAACTGGAAGTAGCGAGACTAATCAACTGGCTTGCTTTCTTCCCTCGGGGCGACCTATACATGTTTATGCATATGGTCCGCCTGCATGCATGTCCCCTTTTCTTCGCCGTGCGACACGAGGGTTAATCACGACGATTGTTAACGGTCATGATGTGGTACCCAGCCTCTCTTTAGGAATTTTGCATGATATGCATACGGTGTCAGTGGCTTTCAAGAGTGATGTTTCAGGAACTAAGTCGCACGTACAAGGCCGTGTTTGGAATAGCTTGCGGCAGAGTATCGTTAATAAGTTCTACGTCAACGAGCCGCCTATAGTCCAGCATGCTGGTGACGGCATTGGTGAAGACGCTTGGGCATGGAAGACTCTCAAAATGCTCAGAGAGGAAATGCTCGCGCCTAAACTGATGCCCCCGGGAGAGGTATTCGTGGTTGAGACCATGCGCGTCCTTCAGCGGGACGCTTTCACGTCTGGTCTGGGTGATGATGGCCACCCGCGGCTGGGTCGTCCTGCAACGAGAGTCCAGCTCAAGTTTATTCGAGACGTCGAATCCGTCTTTGGAGAAATGAGATTCGGATCAGGAATGTTCAGTGACCATAATCCTGCACGTTATGAAGCAAGCCTCGCGGCGCTCTCGCGTGGTATTTTAGACGACTGATGTATCATGATTTGGTTGTTATCTGACGTGGAAGGGAACGACATGCAGGCCCTAACCTCTTAAGCCAGCAACCCCTCATTTTTCTCTTTATATACACTTTCATTTTCATTTGTCAAATCTCCGGTATTACACCGAAGAAGCTACCCAGTCCAGTACTGGAAGATGCACATATATACAGGCGATCCAAGTTGAATATACCCCTATGGCACAATCATTCATTAGAAATAAAACATGAAATTTCAATTACAACATCTTTAGATGTAATTGGCTGGTGCTCGCCGTACCGTAGCCCGGTTGAGCAACTGAGCCAGGAATAAACTATTTTGAGGATGCACAGCATCCGCGCGGCCAGAGGACGACCACACACTTATTTGGAATGAGTGATTCATTTCCTCATACCTGCGTGCTCTTGAGTTGCAGCGACCTTGCAACGCTTCTTTAGCTCAAGCCAGACGTGAATGCGTGAAGACCGTGGAGCGATATGGAAAGCAATAGATGATCGAGCACGGCAAGAGCTGTAGTGATCTCATCGTCAAACCAAACCTCAAATTAGTTCAGCTTGCCCATTGAAACCACGGAGGGCAAAACACCCCGGTAGCAACCAGCAAACCCAGCGCAGGGCTTGATATACCGAAGAAGTAGCCCACATTATAATTATAGATAATCCAACATGGCCTATTTACTGTGCAAAAGAAAAAAAAAAAAAGAATAAGTATCGCGTTCGCGCAGAGGGCCGGGGCGCAGAATCGTCTTCTCAAGGAACACTAACCTCCATGTTGAATCCGTAACTATAGCCTCATATTTAACCGTTATGGGGAGGCTCCCTCTTTGACCCGTCCAGACCCTTCTGCTTCCTTTCCTCAATTCGAGCATCTAGATCGAGCATCTGCCGTTCAACAAGTTCTTTCTTCGCCGCTAGATTTTCCCGCATGCCCCGAAGAGACGCGATTCGCTCGTCTATTGTAGCTTCCTGTTTTTGTTGGACGGTCTATACGCACGGAGAAATATGTCAGCTAATTGAAGCTGGCAGAGAAATATTAATCGAATTCTCAGGCCATACCTGGGTAACTTCTTGTTCGGTCTTGATACCGGCGCCGTAGAGTGTTCCGGCGATGGTGATTGAGACCACCGCGGTGGTTAAAATAACACGGCGTGCTTTCTGGGAGGCCATAATGAAGAAGAGAGGTTCGATTGGCTCTTTGGCTCAATGATCAAAAGGATAAACAGGAATTGGAGCGTTCGTGCGGAGATGATGAATCTCCGCAATCAATTGAGGGTCTCAATCCGATCAAGCAAGGCGGCAACCGCATTGACCCGGCAGAAATTTTGAACGTTTTCTGAGATGGTTCGTCGGATGCTGGATCTTTTGTAGGGTCATTCTGTTACACTCGTCAGATGACAGAATTTTGGTTTCATTAACCATATATAGTGCTAATAGGTAGTTTAATATTATGAGCAGGTTTGAAGCTGAATAAACAAATATTGATGGAGGTGGAGGAGGTATACTTTACTACTGGAGGTCCATTTCCTGGCTGAGAGGTTCAATGTGCCTGTACTAGCGCGGATTCTAAGAGTACCGCTTTCTTTTCTGGGAATAGCGGCTACCTTTTCATTTGTAGTCTAGTGCATCCGATCCTGCCGCTTTCCGATCATGAAGCAATCTAACCGTACTAAGTAACTAGCTATATTTACTACTGACAGGTCTGATAAACAGAAGGGGATTTGCAATTCGCCATGAATCAAAATTTGGTCAAAAACACTGATTGAGATTGACCGTGGCCATGACAAATAGAAGTTGAAAGAACAAGGGTCAGTGGCCTGTGCCATAATTATTGCTTGAGAGATACCACCTACGAGGGTATAGATATGGCTACTACCACACCCACCCACCTTTTACCTTCTTCTTTAGCGTAAACTCACTCAATTGACATGATTGACATAGAATTGATTAATATACCAAAAAAGAAAAACATACAACAGGAGGGATTCGCTGGTGGTCACCCACCCAACTACTAACCTCCCGGCGTGTGGCTTAAGTACGGCTGAGCGGACGGGAAGCCCTGTTCTCCACACCCTATGGTCGTATGTGCTAGCTTTGTATTTGAAGAGGCTTATATCACTCGCTCAAAGCAAACATTCGCTCTTGTTGCGTACTCTGTACTTGTTTCCTTACCTCTGAAATCCGTTGAGAGCCGAGGCGACAGGAGTTGATAAGACAACTTCCAAGCTGAAGGATAAGATCTTGATAGCAAACATCGAAACACGCCCTTCCAAAGACTACGCCTTTCCGGAGACAACCCCGACCCCTTCGGATCTGATCCGAACCACTTGACGATGCGGGGTCTTCTACATAGATCTAAGGTTTATATCAGCCTCACGCTTGTAACTTATTGTCTCTGCCGGTATTGAATAATTCGACCATCGCCCGCTCTCATGGCTTCCAGGCCGGCCATTGGCTCTTTCCGAGGGGCTCAGTTGGCAGGGAATACATCGCGAGGCAGACCCAACCCGCGCTGGCTGTGTCGAGATGGATCCACTGTATCTGGACCTAAAGATCAACTGCCGCCACACTCTCTCTTGCCCACTAAGATGCTATGGCGATCCCTTCTAGTGGCTACTATTTCGTCCCATCCATGGTTGTTGACTCCAACATTGAGGACACTCTCTGTCCTCGCTCACCCTGGAGTATCTCTCTTGGATGTGAATAAGAATGCCATACTACGCGGGATCCTAAAAACAACATTCTACAACCACTTCTGTGCGGGGGAGAACGCTGCCGAAGTCACTGGTACGATTGACCGGATCAAGCACATGGGTTTTAAAGGAGTCATCCTCACGTACGCTCGAGAAATTGTGGTCGACGCTTCGTCCCAAAAGGCCGATAGCCCTACCACGACTAATGAGAAGGCAAGAGCACAAACGGCAAAGAGCGCTGAAATTGAAGCCTGGAGACAAGGGGTTCTGGAGACTGTCGAAATGGTGGGAACTGATGACTTCTTGGCCCTAAAGTGAGTTGATTACATGTCAAGCTATTCGCTTCAAGGCTAACATGATGCTTCTAGACTCACTGGGGCAGGTCCTCAAGTAATGCACACGCTCTCTTCCAACCAGCCCTTACCGGAGCAGATGGTGCTTGCTTTGCAGGATGTCTGCACTCGTGCCATAGAGCGTAATGCGCGCATCTTTGTCGATGCAGAGCAGCAGTCTGTCCAGTCTGGTATTGATGCTGTTGCTCTAGACCTAATGCGCCGCTACAATCGAAATGGTACTGCGGTGGTATACAATACTTATCAAGCGTATCTCAAGTCGACTCCCGAGAATCTTCTTTCCCATCTGAATATCACAGAGAAGGAAGGGTTCACCCTGGGCGTGAAGCTAGTCCGAGGCGCATATATCAACTCCGAGCCACGCCATCTGATTAATGATACAAAATCGGGGACAGACGACTCATACAATGCAATCGCAGCTGGAATTCTGCGTCGCCAATACGGCCCTTTTGGGGTTGAGCGACAATTCCCTCCCACCGAGCTGTTTCTTGCTACACATAACAAGGACAGTGCTCTGGCAGCCGACTCCTTGTACAAAGCACGACTCGCCGCTGGGCAACCGACTACTAAGGTACAGTATGGACAATTGCTGGGGATGGCGGACGAGGTCAGCTGTCGTCTGTTACAGCTTCGTGATGACAGCAGCCAAGCGGCCCGAAAGGCGTCTCCTGAAGTATACAAGTGCCTTAGTTGGGGAACTCTGGGGGATTGTCTGTCTTACCTTCTGCGCCGGGCCGCGGAGAACCGTGATGCGGTAGGGCGGACGAAGCAGGAATATTTTGCTCTCAAGACGGAGGTCAAGCGTCGGATAACGAATATGGTTAGTCTTCGATGGTAGTTTACTCTAGAATTCCACTTTTGTCTTGCGATTCCTTCGTGCGGGCCTCTCAATCAATGTACAGTAGTAAATGTCGAGGCGCATAGTAGCCCGATATCTCGGTAAAAAAAGCCGAAAGAGCAAACCAACCTTTGGCACTGCAAGGCGTACTGCTAAAGCTCCAATACCAGTCCATATCTTCAAACTGTTATACTGAGGGAAATGTACCTTGAATCTTGGGTTCAAGTTTATAGCGATGAATAATAGTTAACTATGTAGGGTTAGCCAATTTAGTCACATCCTAGATTGATTTAATCCCGGGATCTCTTCCGACTTAAACCCCGCCTCCCACTCAAACAGCCTCAACTGTCTTGATTGTTCACGATGCCTATGGATTCTTTCGCTCATAGACGTATTCCAAGATACTAGTATTGTGGTATACTTAGTATTTCAGTCCAATGACCCTCATGACAGCATTTTGATCTGCCCCGAAAGACAAAAAATGGTGACTACCAATCCGCGCGCGGCCAATGCGTGAGTCCCGATAAGCCCTCGGAGGTTCCCCCGATGGCCAATCCACGCCGTACAGTACGGTATCATACTGACCTTCTATAGATGTGAATCGTGCCGCCGACGGAAGGTGAAATGCTCAGGGGATCAGCCCTGTCGCAGCTGCGTTAGGCATAACTGGGAATGTGTGCCTGGCCATGCCGGCCGTAGAAAGTATTCTGAAGCGTATGTCCTCCTCTTCTTTCCCAGACAATGCGGTCTTTTCGTTGACAGCTCAATACATAGACATGTCAAGAATCTACTAGATAAGATTCAATTATATGAAGAGCAACTTAGTGCTCTTTCGCAAGGTATGTGGGATGTGATGCTCTCGATTCACGGACAAATCATGACGGGGAAGGATAGCAGCTCCCCCTACCACATCAGGTACCGGCATTCGCAATGAATACACCGACGAAGCCGTGCCTTATCAAGAAAGTGACGCGGGGATTAGTCCAGGTAAGCAGGTACGGTAGCTCGTTTGTGATAGAATTTTGGCTGACTGGATCAGCAACCGACTTGACTTCAGGACCGGCGTTTGAATCCCAAGTCAAGTCACTTCTTGATAGGAACAACCCAACTAACAGCGCAATCTTACGGGTCCCCGGTAACAGAAGCTCCACGGAAGCCGTAACGCAATGGACGTCGGCGAGACCACTGGTCAGCGATGATGCCGTGCCGACTATCCCATCTTTAGAGGAGTCACAGCATCTACTCGATCGCTTTCTCTTCTACCTTGGAGTTAGCCAGCACTTTTTTGACCCTCGTACCTTTTCTGACAGCATGGTGCTGCTCTTCCATGACGAACAAACACAAGAACGCCAGATGCACTCGATCTGGTTCACCGAGTATCTGCTCGTCATGGCGATGGCCAAGCTGATGGATGTAGAAGACCCTTCCTCCCAGCCCCCAGGTGCGAGTCTCTTTGCAGAAGCGATGAGACGGCTGCCTCCGTTGCATCAACTGGGCGAGGAAGGGGCGATTGCTGTTGAGATCCTAACACTCATCGCCACCTACCTCCAGTGGTGCGACCGGAAGCACGATGCGTATCTTTATGTATGGAGAATTGGTGAATTGAAACCGGGCACAATGGCTGACTAGATACAGATCGGCCTCGCTTTACGACTAGCTATAGCCTTGGGCTGTGATAAACCAGCGCGTGAACAACGCTGTCTGCCTTCAGAGACAGCTCATCGTGTGAGGCTTTGGTGGACAGTGTACATGCTGGACCGGTAGGTCTTTAGCTATGTATGCAAGACTAGTAATAACCTGATGGCGTAGACGACTTTCTTCCGGCCTCGGATTGGCCGCTGGCTCAGATGAGCGACAGTTGCGCGCTGAGCTGCCTCGACAAGCCATCGGGTTTCAGTCCCCCATTGCTTTGGCTATCAATGTTCGCATCGCACGTGTCACGGACGAGATCATGTCGTGTATGTGTTATCCCTGATTGACAAGCGATACGTTCCGCGTCTAATGAAATATTAGCTCTATATGGAAATACGTCCATTACTCAAATGGAGCTTGTCCACAAAATCCAGAAGATCCTTCAGGATCTTTATGAAACAGGCCGTTCCTTTCCCCCTGCTCTTGTTCTCGACTTTAATCGTCCTCTGCAGACAGTAACACGGACAGGTGCATCGCTCTATCTGATGTTGTTCCAGGTCAGTCGACCCCAGATAGACACTGTATGCCTCTGCCTAACCAGAAGCTCGATAGGCCATTATACTTTGTACTCGGCCCGTTCTTCTGCAACGTGTTCGTCGAGAGGTTCAGATACAAAATAGCCAACAGGTGCTGCAGCCTCTGCCAGCAGCGCTAGGCCGCCTGTGTGAGACGTGTAATGAGGCCGCGACGAAAAGTCTAGCCATTCTTCACGCACTCAAGCGCCAGCAGACCATACGTATGTAACATCCCATTTCTGTCCCAGGCTGTTCCGCTGACCATCGGTGTAGCCCGATATGGCTTTTTCGATCTGGATGCTACGTTCTCCGGCGCCTTTGTCCTAGTCATGATGGGCCTCGTAGACAAGACTCTGGACCAGCCTCCCCAAGCCTTAGACCAAGCATTCGATGTCCTTCGGTTCCTGTCTCGAGCTGGTAACCTAGCCGCCGAGCGCCGTTTACAAGACATTACCCATTCTTGTTTGCACGTATGGCCAAACTATATTCCAGGAGCGGATAGAAAGCAAGGCGAACAGGTAGACAAAAGCTCACCGAGTGCAATCAATTTATCTTCGCTCGGCCCAAGAGTAGATGCAACGGGCCCTCACACATCGACTTCGGCTATTCCTCCACAGCCACCACCTCAATATACAGCCGTGGCTACCGAAGGCTGGGAACAGGACCGGGATGAAAGCCGGCTTCTGGAGACGTGGATGCACCCGGATACCGCGAATGCGACGTTTGACATGCAGGTGGACTGGGATTTGGATCTGGACCTTGCGGTGGAGGCCGAGGGGATTTACTCCAGTTTCTTTGACCCGTCGCTGCCGCTGACCGGTGTGGATCACTCGGATTGGTTGGAGATTGAAAAGATCTTTAACGGACAGAATGATCCGTAGGCTTCGTTGGTTTGGTCTGTCGTGGCAACTGTGTAGGTGGCGATTGTTTGTTCGTGTGATGCAGCGCTGGTTTGTGTGTTTGGTTGAGAAGTTTTAGATCTTGGTACAGAAATAGAATATGTAAAGTGCTTCTAGCGTTGCGAGAATAATTGACACAATACGTTCGAATCAAGTGTCAAGGGGACCTTCACGGGATGCTGGTCCTTGAGCCTGTCGATGGCATCTTGGAGCTTTGCGCGTTCCACTGAGCTTTTGGTGTATGAATGCTGGGTTTTCTCATTAACTGTGAGAAACAGCGGAGATTGATCCTACATTTGGCTCGTTGCGCATTGGAGTCTCAAACGATGCCAGCCTCCTAGATGACGGCGTCCTCCGCCATTGAACAGCCAAGATAGACGTAAGGAGCGTTTTCAAGCCGAGTGACATGGTGGAAGTTAGAGCTGCCACAATTTGACCCTTCCTTAGCTACTTGAGTACCACATTGCGTCTCTGGTTCGGTATTTGAAGACCGACAATGTACATTGCTTTCGGACTGCAACACCGAAGTATCCACACCTCGGTTTAGAATCCGACTTGTGGGTTATAGACAGCAGGGCTATGAGCACCTATGTGTATGCTCTTTTGGTCAGATCATAGCAATCATTGTCGCATCACGGTTTCGGAACTGAAAGCGAACGAGCCCAATGTGGCTGGTTGGAGGGAGACCGTCACGGATCTCACTACGGAGCAGCTGGTGGTGCCGCCCAGGTCTTGATCGGTAAGAACCATTTACAATGCGAAAGATAGATAGAGCTAACGGGACTTAGGCCAGCCATTTGGTACGTGGCTTATAGTGTGGACATACATCTGGTGAATGTTAGGCAAATGGAGTCGACCAGAACTTGTCAAAGTCCGGCTCCAAACCCAGAACGGAGGCAATGCTTTCTCGACCGCTCGCAATATCTGGGGCCAAAGAAGGGCCTTTGGCATTTTACAAAGTAGGGGGATTGTTGTAAGATAGTTGGAATAGACTACTCACCTGACAGGGCACTCTATATGCCGCTGTTAGGCGTTGGGGCTTGCGTAGGTCATCTATCCACCCAACGAACCCACTTCTAGCTGGAACATCTCCAGGTCAGCATTCATTTCGGGGCCTTTCCATGGGTTCCGACAAGTCATTGAGTCCTACAATAAAGACAGATGCAACCCTATCCTTACCGCAATACTACCTCGCCGGTGCAGGAGCCGGAGTAGCCACCAGCATCATCTCGGGTCCAGTAGAACACATCCGTATCCGCCTGCAGACCCAACCACACGGCGCAACCAGGATATACAACGGCCCTTGGGACTACGCTCTCAAGCTCCTCCGCACCGCCGGCATCCGCGGTATCTATCGAGGACAGGCGGCGACTCTCCTCCGAGAAATCCACGGCTACGGAGTATGGTTTGCAGCGTACGAGGGCCTCGTGGGCATCGCCATGGACCGCCAACAGAAGAAACGAGAAGAACTCCCCCAGCTGGCAGATGGCAATCTGTGGAGGGCTTGCAGGGGAGGCGCTCTGGCTCCTGAGTCACCCATTGGACGTGATCAAGAGCAAGATGCAAAGCGATGGATTTGGGGCCGAGGAGAAATACCGCACCTTGAGAGTCGCTTTTCGGCATACTTGGGCCACAGGGGGCTTGGTTTACGGCCTCGGACCGGCTCTTCTTCGGGCTATGCCTGTGAGCGCGGGCACGTTTGCTACGTAAGTACTTACCTGTTTTCCAGGGTGGATAATGCCGAAGTGACTCCGAGAATGGGCTAACAGGGGGATATGATAGGATAGAGGTGGTGCGGGAGTTTCTGGGTTAGGTAGAAATGATAGTAGTCTATGCAATAATATAACCGCTATATGCAAGTCCACCAAGTTTCTTCTCGTATTGGTCGGTTAAGTCTGTATACCGCTCGGTTGTTATCCCGAATTGAACTTGTATTAGCCGCGTCTCGTCGGCTGTGGGGTTCAGGACCCTTGAAGGCCAATACGAGAGTTCGGGTAGTTCGATGTCGGCGCCATCGGCTTCGTTATACGGACGGAAAATTTATATGAAAGTCCCGCCGAGCCGGTGGGGATTTATTAGGGCGGCCGCATTGTGGAGGTGAGTGGAAATTACAACGCGCGGGACCCCCGGATAAACACAACCCCAGGGCTTAGCATTCTCTAGATATTCTCCACGCTCAACGGCTATCTTTCGAGTGTCTATAACCTGTTCTAAGTATCTTCGCTGCGATGGCCCTTGTAGAAACAATGTCTGTATACTAGACAGCTTGGAAAAATTCCGTATCTTATGTCTCACTGCACTGTATCCTAATATCGCCAAGGATACAGATCTAACGTACGCTGTAGCGGTACAATTTAGAGACCACAAACTCACAATGTTCTTTACTCCATCCAGGAATTGCTCCTAGTGTGGGGTAAAGGGACGATGGATTTTGACCGGCTACTTGGCGTCCTCCATGCTACTATTTATTAGGGCCAGGGTCCCGCCCAAGCCATGAGACCAAGTTTCGACCACAGGGATTTGCCTGGCAGACTCACACGATGCTCATCTCCAAGACCGTGCTCAGCGGGCTTGTCCTGGGAGCGTCCTTCGTGGGCGTTTCTGGTCAGCAGAACTCCACCCGTTGGCCGTTGCATGACAACGGTTTGACAGACCTTGTAGAATGGTGGGTTCAGTCAATTGGTGGGATTCAATGCTGCTAGCTCTGACACCATGGCTATACAGGGATCACTATAGTTTTCTGATCAATGGTCAAAGACATTTCGTTTTCTCTGGAGAGGTTTGTCCGCCCAATTCCATATAGTCTGGGTGGTTCAATGCATTAACGTCGTATAGTTCCATTACTGGCGTATTCCTGTGTAAGACAAGAGTCTCACAACGGCAGAGCTCGAGCTAATGTAGTACCAGGCCAGAGTTATGGAGAGATCTGCTCGAGAAGATCAAGGCCGCTGGGTAGGTAGTCCCCGATTCTTGGAGCATTTTCTGGACACGCTAATGGCGAACTCGATAGTTTCACTGCCTTTTCTATCTACAATCACTGGGGGTATCATAGCCCCAAGGCCGGCGTTCTCGACTTCGAGAACGGAGCTCACAACTTCACCGCGATCATGACTCTAGCCAAAGAGATAGGTCTCTACATGATCATCCGGCCGGGTCCGTACGTCAATGCGGAAGCCAATGCTGGCGGTCTCCCTCTGTGGACAACTACCGGTGCCTACGGGAAGCTACGCGATAACGACCCTCGGTACTTGGAGGCTTTGACCCCGTACTGGGCTAACATTTCCAAGATCATCGCCCCTCATCTCATCACTAACGGCGGCAATGTCATTCTGTATCAGATCGAAAACGAGTACGCCGAGCAGTGGCTTGACGAGGAGACTCAAGAGCCCAACGTCTCTGGCCAGGAATATATGCAGTATTTGGAGGACGTTGCTCGGGAAAATGGCATTGATGCTCCTCTGATCCATAATCTTCCGAACATGGTAGGGGGCAATACGCTTGCTTGCTAGAGGTACGGGGAATTTGGCTGACATCTACCAGAATGGTCACTCATGGTCCAAGGACCTCTCCAACGCCACCGGGAATGTCGATGTCATTGGCGTGGACAGCTATCCTACTTGCTGGACCTGCAATGTCAGTGAGTGCGCCTCAACCAACGGAGAGTATATCCCATATGTAAGTAACACCTACCGCTCTGTCTTCCTCTGGGGGTTTATGCTAATCTATCCCAGAAAACTTTGATCTACTATGAGTAAGTTCGATACAAGGACTGTAAGAGTGAACACTGACTTACCCTAAATCAACTACTTCAAGAAACTGTCACCGTGAGTTTTCCCTATCTGAAACTACTTACACCCTCTAACTCCGTCACAGCACCCAGCCAAGCTTCATGCCCGAGTTCCAAGGCGGCTCCTACAACCCATGGGGTGGACCTCAAGGAGGCTGCCCCGATGACCTTGGCCCGGACTTCGCGAACCTCTTCTACCGAAACCTGATCTACCAGAGAGTCAGTGCTATCTCGCTGTACATGATGTACGGCGGTACAAACTGGGGCTGGCATGCCTCAACCGATGTCGGTAAGTTATCCCCAAATACAGTATATGCCATAGATGCTGATGAGTCCAGCGACGAGCTACGACTACTCTTCTCCGATTTCAGAGAACCGAAAACTTATCGAAAAATACTATGAGACGAAAGTACTTACTCAATTCACGAAAAGTATGCCTCTTTGTCCGATATGTGGAAGTTCGCCCAGCTAACCTTCCGGACACAGTGGCCCAGGATCTGACTAAAGTCGATCGTCTCGGCAACGTTAGTAGAGGATAACAAAAGCGAGTATGGAGAGACGCTAACTGGGGTCAATAGAGCACGAGATACTCGAGTAACCCAGCTGTTTCGGTTTCTGAGCTACGGAACCCTGACACTGGCGCGGCTTTCTACGTAACCCAGCACGAGTACACCCCATCCGGAACGGTCGAGAAGTTCACAGTTAAGGTTAACACCTCCGAGGGTGCTCGTATGTTACCTCCTACAGTCTGAAATTCCCATACTACTATGATCATCTGCTAACTCCTTGGAAAGTCACTATTCCTCAATACGGCTCCCAGGTCACTCTCAACGGCCACCAATCCAAGATCCTCGTCACGGACTTCAGGTTCGGCTCGAAGACGCTCCTTTACTCCACGGCGGAAGTTCTTACCTATGCTCTCATCGATGGTAAAGAAGTGCTGGCTCTCTGGGTCCCTACTGGTGAATCGGGAGAATTCAGCGTAAAGGGAGTGAACTCGGCCAAGTTCACCGACAAGGGACGCACTGCAAACATCGAGATTCACCCCGGGGCAAACAATGTGACAGTGTCTTTCATGCAGAGAGCAGGTATGAGCGTGGTTGAGCTTGGTGATGGAACACGCATTGTTCTTCTCGACCGGTCTGCTGCTCATGTATTCTGGTCTCCTCCGCTCAGCAATGACCCTGCCGAGGCTGGCAACAACACTGGTAAGTCCACATCGATGGCGGTATACAAAGGTTTGGTGGGCTCGCTGACACTCCTCAGTCCTCGTCCACGGCCCCTACTTGGTTCGCTCGGCTAGACTAGAAGGCTGTGACTTGGAACTCGCTGGAGATATTCAGAATGCTACAAAGGTCAGCATCTTTGCGCCCAAGTCAGTATGCTCCGTCAATTGGAATGGCAAGAAGACCCACTTCAAGCCGACGAAGAGTGGTGTTATCACCACAACCCTGGGAGGCGGAGCGAAGTTCGAACTTCCCCAGATCTCCGGCTGGAAGTATGCGGACAGTCTCCCTGAAATCGCAAAGGACTATTCCGCCACAAGCAAAGCTTGGGTTGGTATGTTACTCTCTCATCCTAGGCCAACAGTACCCACCAGTTAACAAAAGACCAGTGGCTACAAAGACGAATTCGTCGAATCCTGCTCCCCCGGCACCGAACAACCCCGTCCTCTACGTGGACGAGAACGGCATCCACGTCGGCAACCACATCTACCGCGCCACGTTCCCCAGCACCGACGAGCCACCAACCGACGTCTACCTTAACATCACCGGAGGCCGCGCATTCGGCTACTCAGTCTGGCTGAACTCCGAATTCGTCGGCTCCTGGCTCGGCGCCGCGACAGCCGAACAGAACGACCAGACATTCTCGTTTTCTAACGCAACCCTCAGCACCGACGGAGACAACACGCTGGTCGTCGTCATGGACAACTCCGCCCACGACCTACGCGAAGGAGCCATCAACCCCCGGGGTATTACAAACGCCACGCTGGTCGGACCCGGAAGCTACTCCTTCAGCGAATGGAAACTCGCCGGCAACGCCGGCTTCGAAGACCACCTGGATCCGGTGCGCGCCCCGCTCAACGAGGGCAGTCTGTACGCCGAGCGAGTCGGCATGCATCTCCCGGGCTATGAGTTCGACGAGGCCGAGGAGCTGCCTTCTAACAGCACCAGCCTCACCGTCCCGGGCGCAGGTATCCGCGTCTTCCGCACCGTTGTTCCCCTCTCCGTGCCCTCGGGACTGGACGTCTCGATCTCGTTCCGTCTGACGGCGCCCTCGAACGTGACCTTCACCTCTGCGGAGGGATATACCAACCAGCTGCGCGCTCTGCTCTTCGTCAACGGATACCAGTATGGTCGTTTCAACCCGTACATCGGTCACCAGATCGACTTCCCTGTTCCTCCCGGTGTCCTGGATTACAACGGGGATAACACCATTGCGGTGACGGTGTGGAGTCAGAGTGTGGATGGCGCCGAGATGAAGATCGAGTGGAATGTGGACTATGTCCATGAGACCAGCTTCGACATGAACTTTGACGGAGCGTACCTGAGACCTGGGTGGATCGAGGAGAGACGCGAATATGCTTGAGATATGACGGAAACTGATTTCTGCTTCCCTCGTCCGCTTACCGCAAATCGACTCTTCCGACGTTGAGGTCTACCAGGTATCTCATTTTAAATTAAATCAATTTGTGAGATAAGATATTAGTATGAAAAAACGGGTGGAATCTTAGTAATTATTAAATTATAGTTATCTTCCTTTTGATCCTGTGGTCAAATTGCTTTGAAGCTTACTCCACAGATAATTGATAACATGTCAAAACCTTGGTCTGGGGGTTCTTGCCTCTGTTAACTTCATATGCTGACTGACGGTCTTTGTATATAGTAATCGGCTTTGGCACTTTGGGACTGCCCACACTCAC